AATGGCAATCCCAAGAATTTGGGATGGTGCAACTGTTGTAAATACATGCCAGTTGCCATGGTGTCTAGGATAGCTTGCCGTAGCCAATTCGTCATAGCCAAATCACCACAGCCAAATCACCACAGCCAACTTGCCACAGCAAACTTGCTGCAGGACAACTTGCCATGGCCAACTCGCTGCGGGACAATTCGCCTCAGAACAAGAATTACACTAATATTAAAAAAAATTAATGGAATAGAATCATTAAAGAAAGGAAGCCAGAGGAGGAGAAAATGAAATGTGAATGACAAAAAGAAAATATTTTTTTAAATTATTTTAAATAATTAAACTGAATTATTGAATTGTCCCGCACCGAGTTGGCCATGGCGAGTTGTCCCATTCTATTGCCAAGCACCTGAATTCTGATCACATGACAATGGAGATGCTGTGTCAGTTGTTAAGTGTGGGGATCGGCTGTAACTTTTTTCGGCGCCACTGTAACTATGAATGGTTACTAAACGAATGGTTGTAAATTGAGAACTACCTTTAATCTGAGTCGTATTGCACTACAATCCACTGGTTGCTAAAGTTATTAACCAATGGAAAACGAACTTTCCTTTCCAATATTTAACAATGCTACCCCAAGTTTTCTCTTCCTGAGAGATGGGTGGTGAAAAGTGGAGAGTCACTTGCAGAGGTTTCTTCCTGAGACTGAGGCATAGTGACAGAGAGAGAAAAAAAAGCTAATTTCCCAAGTTTTCCTAATAAGTTCATTTTTTAACTTTCTATTTTTCCACAGCTAGATAGTATTTAGAACAAGCTGTTTGCGGGGTGGGGAGATGCAAAGGCAGAGATTTCCCCATGTGTGATAGCACTCACTGTCTTTCAATTCTAAAAAGTTAGATTTAGCCAACTCAGATTATCTGGAAAGAGGACATGAATTCCAAAATGAGATGATTTTAATGGCTTAAGAAGAATGTGCAAATGCTGCACAGATGGCTTGGCAACATATTGCATCAGATAAATGTTGTAGGTAATTTGTAGTTGGGCAGCAACATTTCACAGTCTGCAACTGAATTAATGTGCAGCCACTGTTGTAAGAAAAAGTGTATGCCATTTGTGTTTGATTTCTTGATTTTATGTGTGCACACCTGGAGCTTAGTGGCAGTACACAGAAAAAAACTTAGGTATATGACAAGAAAGACGATTTTTAAATTATCTGTGCCTCTAATTTTTTGTTCTATGATGCCATGATACTAAACTACAGGAATTCAGCGAAGCTGAAACGGGGATTAATATGGGATTCAGACAACTGACAAAGAGCTTGTCTAAAGCTGATTAAATATCTGTATCATGCCTGTTTATATCTAATCATAAAATACCTTAAGCAAGCACATTTCCAGATAAGTGAGCTTGAAAGAAATAATCAAGTATACACTAGCTCCAGTTCAGGAAAGTGGGAAATCTGCCTCCTGAGTTTCAAGGTGACATGGTTGGTTATATAGCTGAGAAAAATGCATTCATTGTCCAAGCAATATCGAATGTTTCCGTATGGAATGCTCCTATTGAGGATATTCCATTCCTTATCCTCTTCTGCATGCCCCCACAAAAATACAACTCTTGCACTTTGAACTCTTTCAATACTTGTTGGGCTACTAGGGAGAAGGGAGATTCTACAGCTATATCATGAAGGTTTTCCATTTCAGAGTTCATTAACTGTGAACTGTTCTTCATTAATTGAGAATTGATGTATTTTGGCTGGCATCCAAACTTAGAAAATGGTTATTGTTTTCAACAAGAGGCATATCTCTTTTCCATATTTAAAACAACATGTACATTCCAGATCCTTTTTCAAATTATTGGCTTGTATAAGAACTTGAGCCATAAGAAAACAGAAGGGGAAAAATGCTCTCAGACTCTGACTTGAATATTATATTAACTCTACTTTTCTGCCTTCCAGGACTGTAAAATATAGCTAATCATTTTATAATTTCCATGCACTTAGAAAAGGTCTAAGATAAAATGTTACCTATTTTCCTATGCGATCACAAGCATAGTCAGTTAGAGTAACTGTAGTGAACCTACCAAGAAAACAGTCTAAAACATTTATATGACTGCCTTTGTTAACTGTCAAAAAGCACAACCAAAAACTCAATAAATTAATTTCATGGATGGTATCATCTGCCAGAATAAGCAATGTGACCATCGGAAATTAATTGCAGACCTCCTGACAAGAGACTGGGAAAACCAACAAAACAAATAAGATATTATGTTCAAAGTGCATGTATACGCCATCTGCTCTGCTGAGAAGAATAGACAAGAATTCAAATCATGCCTCATAATATCTGCATCTTGAAAGGGTATCTTATAGCATACTATATTCTTTGTACTTTGATAAATTTGTTGAGACCAGAAAACACTGAACTTTCTTGCATGTTACAACAAAACATAGTAAATGTGCTGTTTTTTTTACACAACTATCAATATATTGCACCCTCTGCTGGTCAAAGATATTCCCAAACAAAATTATAGTCATTTATCAATCTACAGCTTAACAATATCCTTGATGGATGTTATTTCAAGTATACATCTGTGCATTTCCATACTGTGAAATATGTGTACATCTACCTGATATCAGCCTCATACTCATTAATTATAAACTTATTAATTCTTAAGTTTTCTTACCTTGGGCTTTTCATCCAGTATTTGCTGACGAATCTCCTTGTGTTTCTCCACAAGTTTTTCCTGCCTTTTGGTCTGAGCATCTTCTAGCTGTAATTGAAAAACAAAGTTCACTAAAATTCACATGCCTATCTGATTTCCTCACTTTCACACTCAAGAAAATAATATAATTATCTTGGGTAAAAATGTTTTAGAGAACATTTTGACATAAAATGTCATTATTATTACAACAGTCAACTTCTTTCGTGTAAGACTTCAAGGAATCTCTGTAGACTTGTTTCAAATTTAAAAGTTTTATTAGCTGGAAATGTGCAGCTGAAAATGGAAGATACATTCTTAATATATGGTGATTAACTGCAGCATTTAGTTAGGCCAAGTAGCCAGCATTAACTACAGGGCACAATGTCTTTTTAAAAAAATCTAAACACATTTATGTTCCTGCAAATCTCTTGGACTATGTTGATAATTTTTAATACCAACTTCTGTGTCATTAGGTGAAGTGCCATATGCTCTGAAGAGAGTGAATGGCTTAATCAGTCTCATTGCTAACTTGTTTTAGAAAAACAGGATTTTTTTCAATAGACAACAAGCAAATGACAGAGCTTTGAAGAGATGAGAAAAGGAAGGAGACAGGCACTAGATACTGATCAGCATGCTCATTTTATTTTTAATTCTATTTTATTTTTAATTAGTTCAATCATGTCTGATTCTCAGAGATGCCTTGATAAGTCCCTGCAGTTTTCTTGGCAAGGTTTTACCTAAATGATTTGCCATTGCCTCCTTCCTAGGGCTAAAAGAAAGTGATTGGCTTAAAGTCATCCAACTGGCTTTGTGCCTCAGGCAGGACTAGAACAGGAGTTGTCCTTGTTTCCAGCCTGTTGATGCTTAACAACTACGCCAAAATATAGCTTGCTCATAAAGAACTCTTTTCTTCATGTATATTACTGGGAAGCATTTCCTTTTATAAGTGCTCCATTTGATTTGTCACGACATCTTACTGCAACTAAGTGACCTTTTTTACCTATTTCTGAACAGCACTTTGGGGGCATAACCTTGTCATGCAAGAACAGAACCTGGATTTCAAAGATATTATTTTTGTTCCTCTGAAGTATGCATACATGCATGTATGAACGTATGCATGTGTTGAACAAGTTTACATAGCCATTCATCTACCAAAGCACTCAAGGTATCGGACAGAAAAAAACTCCAAAACCAAAATCACATTCCATAGCAAAACAAGTAGCAATTGAAGTTCCACATCTGAAACACAATTGTTCAACTTCTCTGTATTCCTTATTTCAGTTGTGGTGCTGTTACATTTGCAGCCAGGTAAGATCTGATCTGCCTCCAGAGAATCAAGGAAAATAGTAAACTAAATTTATAAAATTTTAGCACTATCTGGACATTGGGACTACAAATTGTCTCTGCACAAAAAAATAAGCACTGCTATTATGTTGGGGTTTTGCTATTTCAAGATAATTACAATGTGCAAATCAGCCTAAATCTTGAAATGTATAATGTAATATTTACGCCAAGGTGAATACATGTTTTAGGCAGTAGACTTACTCTTTTAATGTACTGCACCACCTCTTGAATATATGAGCGAATCATTTCTGTCTTCTCCCTGAGAGGAAAATTAAAAATGATTAATCCCATTCATTTTTAAAATCACTTATTACTTGTTTTCTGCCATAAATAATTTGTTTATAAAATAACTGGTAAATTTCACTACGAGAAAATCAGAGCCAAATTTTACAAACATTGCCCAGTGTATTTTTCATCAGATTTCAAAATGCTTTACTCCTTTATTTCAAAGGGATTCTGTGCTTTTTGTCATGTGCTATATAAGTGCCATTATGGTTGATTGTATACTGCCTTGAGGATGATTCAAACAAAAGGTAAGTTAAGCTCTTCTAAATAAAAGAAAAATAATGCACAATCACTGTTGGAATCTATAGTACTGTACTGCTTTCTTTTTAATATAATATGTGGAGAGCCAAAATGAAACATACATTTTAAAAAAATATTAGGATTTTCTTCTATTGTGTTTCAGGTATTCTGCATACAAGTTAAGGTGAGAGTTGAAGACTGCACTTACTCATCCATCTGATTTCTATCCTTGGACTTTGCTTCAGTGACCTTCTCTTGCCTTTTCTTGTCCATCTTTTTCTTCAGCTCTTTTTTTTCTCTTCAACAAATCCAGATTTGTTTTTATGAAAGAAGAAAACAGAGCAAAAGTTACGCTATACACATTCACCCAGAAGTGACTCCCTCTGTCTTGACAGGGGATTATTCCCCTCCAAGTACATCTAGAATGGTAGTCAAAAAGAATTGTTAAGTAGTCTTTACCTTTCACAAATCTCTTTCAACTTCTTTAGTTGATTGCTTTGGCATTCTTCTGCTACATCTGTCAGCTTTTGTATAAGCTTAGAAGGGGAAAAAAACCAGATATGTCATAGATTGTACCAGCCACACATTCTGTTGGTATGTATTGTACAGGTAGTCTTCAGGTTGTGATCCTAATGGAGCCTTCCCATTAGGGTAGAAGATCAAAATAATGTTAAATGAACTGCCTCAAGTAATGACCAGCCACACTTGTTCTCCCCAGTGCATTCCTTAAATAAGTGCACTGGTCATTAATTGAGGGTGGGGGAAATCCTGGGAGGCCTAATGCAAGCACCAGCCCACCTGCTTCAGGTCTCCCCCACCCCCAGATACTGGGCTGCAGCACAGCTGGCTGTCTTGCCAAAGAGAAACATCTGGGAAGGAAAACCCTGTCTTACCTGTCTTTCCCAATTCTGCCTCTACCCTTCCTCCTGCCAAGGTGTTCTGGGCCAAAAAAAAAAAAAAGAACTAGTTCCCTAGCCCAGGGGTAGGCACCCTTGGCTCTTTTATGACTGGTGGACTTCAACTCCCAGAATTCCTGAGCCAGCATGGCTCAGCTTGGAAACCTCTCCCTTTCCCCTCAGCATGGCTGGCTCAGGAATTCTGGGAGTTGAAATCCACCAGTCATAAAAGAGCTAAGGTTGCCTACCCCTGCCCTAGCCTTTTGGAGCTTTTGGTGTTCGCCCATCAGCTGTCCATTGGGAGGCTACAAAGCTCTCCTGCCTCTCTAGGCTTTAAGAAAAGGGCCCTTGCACAAAAGGCAGCTTCAAGACGAGCTTCCAAAACCCCTTTTCTTCCTTAACGTTCTTCCCACCTTCCCCCAGAAAGCCACATTTCTTCAATAACAAAAACATAAAAAGCTGGCTGGGATGTACTTGTTGATCTACCCCCCCTCCTTTTTAGGTGCTAAAACTAAACTCTCCCTCTGCCTTCCAACCAATATCCCTTTTTAAAACCTTACCTTGACTCCAGGCGGAAGAGTAGAAGAACCAAGCGAGGAAGGAGAGAATTTTTTCCCTGCAGCTTTTTACTCCTGAAGTAATAATAATAATGATAATAAAAAAAAATATCCCTAAAAGTTGTGCCAGAAAATGGAGGACGCTGGGTCTTTGCAAGCTTTAGCTGTCTGTCAGACTGCCTACAGAGGGCGGGCTACAGTCTAGTTCAGTGTTTCTCAACCTTGACAATTTTAAGGCATGTGGACTTCAACTCCCAGAATTCCACAGCCAGCATGGCTCAGCTTGGAAACCTCTCCCTTTCCCCTCAGCATGGCTGGCTCAGGAATTCTGGGAGTTGAAGTCCACAAGTCATAAAAGAGCCAAGGTTGCCTACCCCTGGTCTAGTTAGTAGTTTAAGTCCTAGTTGGACTCTATAGGCAGCCAGGAGGACAGCTAAAGCTTGCAAAGACCCAGCGTCCTCCATTTTCTGGCATAACCTTCAGAGATTACTTTTAAAAAAAAAAAAAAACAGGGGAAAAACAGCTGCAGAAACATTTTGTCTCCTCGCTGGCTTGGTTCAACTACTCTTCAGCCTGGAGGAAGCCCAAAGCCTAGAGAAAGAGAGCTTTGCAGCATCCCTATGGACAGCTGGTGGGCAGACAGCTGATAAGTGGAGAAGGTTCTGAAAGTAGCCGCCATTTTAGCAAGGAATTGTTTGGATCCTGAAAATGGCGCAGCTGCTTCCAGGAGTCATAGGGAGCAGGCCTAAGTGCTGCAGGGGAAGACAGGCAGGGGAGGAGGTTTGCAGTAAGTGTGAAGGACCACTGGAGTGCTGCATCTGTCATAAATTTGAAATAGGTTATCTGTAGTTTTGGGGTGTTGTTTTGAATGGCAGTTAAATGGCCTGTTGTTTCTCGAGGACTACCTGTATAGTGAGACTTAGGGGTTTAATCTGCTCCACTCTCAGGATGGGTGCTTAGTCAGACAGCAATTGGTAGGCAAAAACTTCAGGAAGGACTAGGATAGACTCCCACCTCAAGTGGCAGAAAGCAATCACTAGCTGGCATGGATAATATTGACTTAAATTGGCCAGTGACCTATATCATATCAGTAAAGCATACGTACAGACATACATTTATACATATATACATATATACATGGTTACTCCTTGAATAATCATCCCTCTTCCTATTAGCACAGTCAGGGGACATTTCCCATCTGTGCAAAGCTGGAGAGGATAATTAGGCAAAATAACCAGGCCAGCAAAGAATAAACATCACTAATACCTACCTCAGGATTATAGAAAGGACCAGAAAACAAAATAGCCAGAATTGGGTCTGGATATTGCCACATCCATTACCTGGACCAACATTTTTTACTCTGCCCAATGGTAGGGACAGTTCTACATATATAATAAATGGAAATAATTTGCCCCAAACATGAAGAGATTTCATTTTTTAATTTAAAATCTGCCTTTAACCAGAGCCGGACTCTGGGTCTATACAAATTTGTATTGTTTAGGTCGGGGACACTGTTGTTAAGAACTGATTCTTAATTAAGATTCTTAATTCAAGGATTTTTGCTCCCAGTTACTTTCCAATCTCATCCAAAAAAATCAGGAATGAAAGCCTCAAAGAGGACTTTTTTCTCATCACTTTTCCTGTTATTGAACAGATGCCTAAGTCACTGAAACTTTTCCACTGATCGTAAGCTGGCTCTAATGCTTTTCTTGGGAACATTCATGTGAAATTGAAAAATACTTTTCAATAGTTTTTCAATAATAGGTTTTTAAGAAGAAATTGGTCAACAATTTGTCCAGAATGGTATAGGTCTCCTGCTTTTGAGCAGGGAGTTGGACCAGAAGACCCCCGAGGTTGCTTCCGATTCTATGATTCAGCATCAGATATGTTTTCTGTATACTATATAGCAGCATACTTTTGGTGAGGAGGGATAAGTATTTAAATTTCATGGAATTTCATGCCTTTTAGCAGAAATTATTTCAACATGTTTATACCCATACGTGAACTATGATGCCAGTTCCCTATTCTGGTTCATAAGGCTTAATAACTTAGCAGATACTAATCTATTTTACCATATTATACAGATGGAATGAAGTAGCCAGCCTTGTTAGAATATCATAAATTCGGACAAATACACATACTGGGGCAGACTGAAATAATATAATAGTAACATTCCATTGCCTTATTCTCTTTCTTCTTGACATTCCAAAGCATCTATTATTATCTGAGCAGGCTCTTCATTTAGCCCAAAGGGCTGCTCCATGCAGGGTGCCTGAACCACAGCTGTAAAAATAACTGCTGCTCTGGGGACAATAAATACACAATATTGTTTTGTTCTTTATAGCTTGTATTCTAGCTTCCATTTAGAACACATAAATTTACAGAAGGCTTTTTGGTAGAAACAAGTAGCTGCTAGAAGACATCTTAGTGGTATCAAAGCTCTTGTTTCCAATTTTATAGGCCACACTAATTTAACTGCTCATTTTGAAATGCTTTCTGATCATTTAGAGCGACAGCACTGCGTTAGGCATAGCATGATAGTCTAAGTTTCAAAGCCAGAAAAGGCAAAGATCTCCAAGCAATAATATAATATAACTTCCAAAAGGTTTGCATCTGCTCTCAATAATCACAAATATAGAAAGTAGGAAAGGCACTGACACTAAAATGATTAAATAAATAACTTAATATAAACCTATTGTATTGAACCAACAAGTCTAAATAAAGTGTAATGTATGTTTCTGGTTGCCTTATCTTAAATACCTGCCACACACACCTGTTCCAACTGTTTGTCCCATGACAGATGGAGATACAGAGAAACCTCCATAGGTAGGTTCTGAAGTAGCCAAACCTAGGTTTGTATACAGTGTTTGCAGTAGTATTCATCATAGAAAGCAGGGAAGCAATTTTTATGTATAGTACATACCAATTTGATATGTGCTTGTTTCTGGTACTTTTCACTGTAATACTGTTCTTGTCGAAGATTCAGTAGCTGTTGCTGTTGTTTTTCTTTGAGCTCTATTAACTTCTGTGTCATTTCTGAATCAAGGGCAGCTAACTCTTGCTCAACAGTTGAAGGGCTATGATCTGGGCTGCCAGTTTCACTTCTATAGCACAATACAGAATAATAAATATAAATTGCAGCAATACAAATTAGAGGTCCTGTCCCCCAGATGACCCCCATTATCCCATTAGCCAATATAACATTGACCTATCAAAGATTCTTTAATTCTATTTTTCCTTATCTTGTGCAAATGTGTAACTATGCATCTGGTGTTTATACATGTATAAAGAACTCTTAATTTCTTGAAATATGGACAATGAACTGAGCATCCAGATAGCAATCATGAATTTAATTCAAATCCTCTGATACCCCTAAAAGAAAGCTGCTAGAAACAGCAGTGGTATAACAAAAAGGGATGAAGATTAGTGTAGATTATTTTTGCCAGTTAACTAAATTGATGACTTTTCAATGAATATTGGAGAAATAAGACAAAATATTAAAGCTTTGGGTTTCATTGGTTTCATCCAATGACATTATGACTGTCATTGAGATTAGCATTATTTCATAATTCATAAAGCTTACCAAATCAATTAGTTCAATTTTTTTTTTAAAAAAACTGAGCATCCCCAAACTGCATAGCATCCTAATGTGAAACTATTTAATGAACTCCAAAGAGCAAAGTTCATAAAGACCAAGGATTTGTCAAAGGAAAGCAAGCTTGGAACAACATACAAAACCCAAACGAAAAAAATAATCTGTGCAAAATGGAAACTGAACAAAACTCCCCAAGGAACAGTGGGATATTTCTGGTCTTGGGAAAGAACTGCTACTTTAAAAGTGAGGTGAGAAGGGGGAGCAATGAATGGAGCATGTGAACTAAACAGAGCAACTGCAAACTAAATAGTAACAGTAGTACATTCCAATTCCCCCATCCCAAAAATTAAAAGCGAGGGCAATGTAAATGAAATGCATCTTCCTGAGCCCTGACAGTTATATCAGAGATGCTTATAGTTCTACCCAGGTGTTAAGCCAGTTGCCTAGGAAACCACAAGCTTAAAAGGAGAGATGGCTAAAAGACTGAGTTCCAGCTGGAGAAAGGTTATAATCAAGCCCTGAACAGAATGCGAGATTTGTGCAAATATAAGGAAGAAGGGTAGCAACTCAAATCTAGAAACCCACTCTGACAGTGCTGTAATGGTTTGAACACAGGTAGAAAATGGCTTAAATTCATTGCCATTTAATTTTGACCTAGTTACTGGGTCTGATACCTAAAATTTTCTCTAAGCTGATGGGATATGAATGAGGGCCTTCCTCTCTCTGATGGACATTCAGCTGTATGCATGCTGCATGTAACTCTTCTCTCCCAGCACCACCATCTACAATGTCTTGTAAGACCTTAATATTGAAAACATTTGCCCATTTCTCTCCCCCACATATATTTTTTGTGTTAAAAAATCTAATGACATAAGTCAAGAGACACTAAGCACTTCTTTTAATTCTCTACCTACTTAATGACTTGCCTCCAGAAGTTGTGGGTGCTCCGGCACTGGAGGTTTTTAAGCAGAGATTGGAAGACTATTTGTCTGAAATGGTATAGAGACCAAGTGCCCAAACTGCAACCCAAAACCCACTTCTGTATCGCTGGGTGGGCGTGACCCACTGGGTGGGCGTGGCCATCTCAATGTTGCTCCTGGGGAGGGATGCCTGTGGGAGCCGGGCAGAGTTGGGGGAGATCCAGGGGGTCTCTGGCGGGTGGGGCAATAGGCAGGCGGGCAGATGGAGGCTGGAGGGGAGTGAGAGCCGCAGCTGCCCGGCTCCTCCGCCTGAGGACACGTGCGGGGAGAGGAGCTGTCCGGCTCGGTAAGCCGCGGTCCGCCTGCAGAAGGAGGAGGAGGGCTGGCCGGGGACGGGCGCAGCACTGCCCATAGGGGGAATCTGACCAACCCCAGCCTGGAGGGGAGGAGAGGCCGAGGGAGCCCGAAGGGAGGCAGGCGTGATGCTTGGGGATAGTTGGTCTCCCCTCTCCCCCTGCCCTCCCACAGAAGGACTGGCTGGCTTCGGCGTCACCTGGGCAGTCCTGGCTACGCATCTGCCCAGCAGCACTGGTGAGACCGGCCTTCCTTCCTTCCTTCCTTCCTTCCTTCCTTCCTTCCTTCCTTCCTTCCTTCCTTCCTTCCTTCCTTCCTTCCTTCTCCTTCCTCTCTCTCTCTCTCTCTCTCTCTCTCTCTCCCTTTCTCCAAAGTCCAAACTTACATGTCCTCCTTCCCCCGCTAGCCTTCTGCAAAGTGCAAATGGATGCCGCGTCCTTGTCTTCTCCAAACTCACGCCCACCATCGCTTCCAAAGGCCGTCTGCTCACTCACTTGCTCTCGCACTCCCGCCAAAACCTGTTTTTATAGGTTCCCCTCTCCCCGCCCAGCTCTCGCAGCTGTTCCCGTGAGAGTACTGTTGGATTCAGTTTCCCTGCTCTCTCCAGTTCCCACTAGTCAGGCACATGTGGAGAGGGGGAGGGGAGCATCCCTCTGGTGCGCGTGCCAACAGAAAGGGCTCTGCGTGCCCAGTCTGGCACACATGCCATAGGTTCACCACCACGGTATAGAACAGTGATGGCGAACTTTTTAGAGACCGAGTGCCCAAACTGCAACCCAAAACCCACTTATGCGTCGGGTGCCGGGTGGGTGTGGCCTATTAGGTGGGTGTGGCCCATTGGGTGGGCGTGGCTGCAGTAGTAACAGCAGACTGGGTGGGACTAAAAAGTTCAATCAATCAATTCCAACTTTGCAAGATCTTTTTTTTCCCGCGAGAAGTTGAAATTGACTGGTTGATTGAACCTTTTTTTTTGGACACGGCGGCGGAGGCCTAAAGCGAAAAGGTTTTATAAAACCTAGCTGAAGGCCTAAGACTGGGGCGACAGCGCGTGTGCCCACAGAGAGGGCTCTGAGTGCCGCCTCTGGCACCCGTGCCATAGGTTCGCCACCACTGGTATAGAAGGTTGGACTAGAGGACCTCCAAGGTCCCTTCCAACTCTTATTCTGTTAATATAGGCCTGTCCAGAAGGCTGTAAGATTGATATCTGTTTTTAGTCATTTTTTCTTAGCATTACTCATAACTACATGCCCTACCAACCCCTGGATCAATTTGTCACTGGCATGAATGACAGAAGCTTCCACATCACAGTGGTTTAATGTAAAGCAGCGCAGCAGAGATTACTTCACTCAGCATAATGGAAGCTCCCATCTTGTCTGGAAGGAGACATGAGACCCAATCAGGGAGTATACTATTTCCAAGAAAGGCCAAAAGAACCTTTGTAAGAAGGTAGACATACTTTTTCTTACTGTCTCTTTTAGCTGTTTTCTCCAGCACTGCCCTTCGCCGCAGATAATCATTTTGAATTTCATTGTATTTTGTAGTATGCTCTTTTATAAGATCCGTTGTTTTTTTGTGATGTCTCTTCACAAGATCCTTCATTTCTTTGTAGTGCTTCTTCTGAAGTTTCACAAATGCCTTCTGTTGCTTTAGCTCCTCAATGGTTTGTGCTTCAATTTCTGCAAGAATAAGAGGAATGGTGTTACCACTGCACAACATTAGACACGCAGGGGATATGCATAGCTTTATCAGCAGGTTTTTGCTGCTATTGCATGAGCCGCATTTAAAAGCAACTCTCTTATTCCAAAAGAAGAGAAATATATAATAATGTTTAGGATTGAACTATGGGGTCCTGGAGCTCTTGGAGCTTGGTTATTTAGTTGTAAACATTGCCCAGTTAGTAACATTAGTGTAGGTGTGCGGTTTTCTCCCTGTTTATATACAATAGCTTGCTCTGCTTGTTTTGATGAGGGTATGGTTTTATCCTTGGTAGATCCTTGATGTGGATATTTTCTTCTTCTTCTTGATTGTTTCCCTGGTGTTAATCCCTGGTTATCTGAGTGCTGGCTGCTAGAGAGGATGTGTTTTGGTATCTTTTTTCCCCCCTTTTTAGTTTTTTATTGTCTCTTGAATGGTGTATCATTATGATTTATTTCTTGGTGTGTATTGATGGCTAATTTGAAATTGAGATTGAGTCTGCCTATGTGTTGTAAGATTAAGGAGTTTTCAGTGGGTTTTCTGACTGTTAGTTCTTGTTCATGGAAGTGCGCTGCTAGTCTTCTACGTGTCTATCCTATATGATGGTTGTTACAGTTTTTACACTGTACGTTGTACATGATTCCTGTTTTTTTCTTCTTGGGCTATTGCAGGGGTCTTCAAACTTGGCCCTTTTATGACTTGTGGACTTCAACTCCCAGAATTCCTCAGCCAGGCACGCTGGCTGAGGAATTCTGGGAGTTGAAGTCCACAAGTCATAAAAGGGCCAAGTTTGAAGACCCCTGGGTTATTGGGTCTTTTGGTTTACTTATGTTTTGGAGGGTTTTGGTTGGTTTGTGTGCTACGGCGATGCCATGTGGTTGTAGTAGGCTGTTGGTTGTTTTTATATGTTTTGATGTATAATTCTTTTCAGAACTTGTGTTTGTTGTGCTGTAGTGAGTTGAATAGTTAGATACTTTTTGATAAGGTTGTATGGTTAGCCATTTTGTTGGAAGATATTGTATAGGCAGTTTGTTTCCTTTTTCGATATTATGGGTTACTGTAATGTTTGTACTCGTCTGAATTCATGAATATAAATGCACTGCATTTGTACTTGGCTGAATTGATTACTGCAGTGCTCTTGTACTGCATTGCATTTGTACATTGCACTGTACATTGCACTACACTTGTACACTGCACTGTATGTGTGCTCCTCTGAATTGCACAAGTACATATCTACTGCAGCAACTTCTTCCTGTCTTTATGTAATCTTATCAGAATTATATAATTTAAGAGTCTCAACTTGTATGAATTATGTAATTCAGGATATTTGAAAGATAAAGATATTTCAATTCTGTTTATTTTGTTTCACCAGCCATTGTTGTTTAGACTACAGAATCATCTCATCTGGAGATAGACATATTACTAAATAGCCCCCACATTTATTAATACATTCCACAATATAAAAATGACCCAGTTCAGTCTTTTTTTATAAAAGCAAGGTATATTTTATGTAAGTACATCTATTATTTAGTTTAGAGAATTCTAAGTTACTTCTGGCATGTAAATTTATAACACGTTCTTCACATCAGATCAAGGTACAGGTCATTCATAAGGTATACAAAATGTTTGTATCTCAAGATGCACCTTAGCCATATTTTTGTGTAACTCATTGCTCTTTGCTGTGTTTGAAAACAGTAAATGTTCCTGTACTGTTCCTTGAGAGGAAAAGGATAAAGATATCCATCTGTGTATGCTCATATATACTCACAAGAGCTTTTGTATATCATTAAGATTATTTGTTTTGAATATAGCTTTTGCTCTCAAGTGAATGAATTTATACAGCAAATTCAAGAGTTATTTAATCATGCCATGTAGAAATTGCTGATGCTTGGAGGGAACTCTACTTAATCTATTATTTGCATTACTGTTTATATGCTGGTTTATCAAATTCAAACACATGCAAATGCATCCTGGATCCTTAAATTTAGTCTCAGAACTAAACTCAGCATCATCTAGATCCCAATTATTCATCCTATCAGGATTAAACTGATACAGTCCAGTAATTTGGGCTCACTCTTTAATTTTAAAATCCCTTAAATATATCATTGTTCTTTCTATATGATGGTTAAGTACCATTAGGGAGGCATTCTGAATAATAAAGAAATTAAAATAGCTATTTGTATATGATATGCTTTGTCTTGAAACACTCCCCTTAATTTGTTTAAGAGATACTGATATTACAGCACCATCATGTTTTTTACCTGTCAGGACACTCTGAATCAGATCTTCTGTTTTGGCTGGAACTTTCACAGAACCTAGGTGTAAATAACATCAATATTTCAACTGGTCTGAAATGAAGAATACAAAACCTTACAGAGAGGCATTCTTCTTATTGGCTCTGAAAGAGCCAGAGCATATAATGCCATCCTTGTTCACGCTCTATTGACAAATAACTTGTTCTTATTCGTTCTTAGCTGTGGACCAGGCTTCCCCAACCACTACCTGTTCTCAAATCAATCTGCCCTGCCGGTAATAAAAGAACAGCTTCCTAGATGCTGTCCCTCTGAAACTAGGTTAACATCAATATGGAAGCAGTTTTTTTCAGCAGCCACTCCAAATTCAGAATTGCTCATTGGCTCCTAACTCTGAATCTTCAGGCATAAGATGAAATCCTACTTTTATTTTGTTGATCTACTTTTTAGCTCCTACATCCTATTGACTGAGGCTTTGATGTATGCATTGTGTTTTTTGTGGCTTTAAATACAGACTCTTGTTTTTCATTTATATTAACTGCTTTGAAAGCTTCATAAGAAAAGGAGACTAAACATGTTTTAAATACATCCCTGGAGCAGATGATAGTAAATTGCCTCTTCATTATTTGATAGTATTAGTTCCTTTTCTTAATGTGTGAGTATATATTTAATGTTAAATTGGGGCTGTACTTCAGTGCCAGCATGCAAGTCACATTATCTCTCTGTGTTGCACTTACCCCACGCAGGATGAAGAAACTATTGGCTCTGTTATTTCTGGGCTAGTAAGAGCATTTACTTGTATGCCTACATTACCCTAAGTGGTCCAAGCCATTTAGAGTCACTTATTGAAGTTGAGGTTGGGTGTTCAGGGAGAGATATACTTACAGGTGAGTGCTGTGGCCAAACATTGCTCCTATTTATCTCAATAATAAATAAATTATGCATCAGTCCTTCTAGTTATTTTGCCCCATGAATGTAAATAGGAAAAAGGCATCTTGCCTCACTCTGCCACTGCTGCTTGTTTCAATGACTGCCAGAAGGAGAGGCTAGCCATTGTGATTTCACGCTGATGTTGCCCATGTCACAAGGCATGGTCTTTGTGACCTCAAAATGATGCTTTCTGTTTAAAGGAGAAAGTCTGTCCATTGGGACCCTATGCAGGTGATATTTAGCTGGGCGAAAGGATCTGCTCATGGTTAACTTGTACTCAAGAAAAGATAAACTGGATGGGCATCCCATCCTTTTAATCCTGTTCCTAAGACTGGATTACAGCAGACTTCCCCTGTTCAGGTGCCCTCCAGATTAATGGACTTCAATTCTCAGATGTGATAGGAATCTAAGGACACCAAGAGGTATTTTTGTTTCCCTTGCTCTCTTTCGGACATTGTTCTTCAAAGTTTTCCATATCCTTTTGGAATAAAAGCAGGGGAGAATATGCTTCTGTAGGCAATAAATACTTTGTGAAATCTTTGCCCAACAAAATTACTAACATTCACTCTGAAATGGATGCTGCTTGCTCAGTTTAGTAAGGTAAACCCATTGTGTAAGATTATCTGGGATTACTTTGTGGGATCCAAGGAAATGAGTAGGAAACTTCTCACTATACATTTTTTTGAAGGTAGGAGTGGTGCCTTTACACTCGATGGAGACAATGATCATTTCCTCATGGAGAGGTCATCTCTTAATCCAGAAGCCTGGACAACTTCCACTCATTCTGCGATTTTCATTTTCTGATAGATTTTGCAGAAGGTGATAGGGTTTCAGTTACAAATGTTTTAGAGGTAATGGATTATCTGGACTTCTTTGGTTGCAATTCAGACCAGGGCATGGGACTGAGACAGCATTAATTGCTTTGGTGGATGACCTACCTACTGTATCCCACTAGATATCTTGGTAGCATTCACTACCATTGAACATGGTATCCTTCTGAATTACCAGCAAGGGTTGAAGACAATTACAGTGATTACATTTCTGAATGGATGGTTCCAATTGGTGATCATGGCAGAGGAACATACTAGCCCATGGTTGTTCTAATATGGGGTACTGTAGCGGTTATCTCTCTCTTCCATTTTCTTAGTATCTACATAAAACTGCTAGGAAAAGTCACCCCTCCATTTGAGAGAGGACCTCAATATGTTGATGATACTCAATTACACTTGCCACCAAGGCCAAGGTGGAGATACTGTGGTTCTTACTTAGTGCCTGGAAGCTGTGAAGGACTGGAAAGATGAAAGAAACTTAAATTCCAGCAAGATGGAGTTGCTCTTCATAATTAAACAATCTGGCTCAATTTTGGCATCAATGTTAGCTCTGCATAAGTGACAGATCTACGACCTTGTGCATTCTCTGGACTCAAGAGTTTTTAAGTGGTAGACGGAATTGCCTTTAACCCCACCTGATTTGACATTCAACATCCTTGATATGGAGCTGCTTTTGAAGATGACTAAAATGCAATTGCTGTAAAATACAGTTGGTCTGGCAGCTAATATTGATAAGATTGACAGAATCTCTACAGTGGGATTGCCTGCAAAAGCATTTGTATAAATAAAGTAAATAATAGCTGATGCATAAAGACTTGTACACCTAGTTCATTTTTATAGTACATAATGAAAGCATAGATATAATTAGAGAAATTTGATTTTTCAAAAAGAAATTCATATATTTAGAGATTTTGAGCATTAAAACATTATTCTGGGGATTAAAATGTTTTAATCCTGCATTGGATATGTTCATTTTTTCTTTCTTAATCTGCTAAATATGCAGCCTCCAAAGAATGAAACTTGGCTGTTCTATCCTTGCTAAGTCCTAACTATTTTTCCCTTGAAAACTGAAAGTCTGAAAGATCAGTGCTTGAGCTGAGTTCTTTAGCAGGGTCAGAATATCAGTGACCTCACATGTTTTGTTCTTCTTTAGTCACATTGGCTCCAACTATCCTAGAACAAAACTTTTAGCATATAGCTTTAATTGTGACAACAGCAACAACAACACAAACAAAATCTCTCTAGAAAATGGTTTCCTAGGGTATAAACTCTGGTCATATTCTTGATAAAGCACTGGAGCTGGTCTAAATAGGACACAGCCAAATTCTGCGATGGAATATATTCAGCATTCTCTATCTGCTCTCAAAACCCCCTGGTTCATCTGATCCTTCATCTATATCCTAAACTCCTTCAAGATGTGTACATAGAAGACAGATTTTATCTATACAACACCCCTGTAAGACTCAGAAATTGCCACTTGCTCATGGTCACCCCAGGAGCTTCCTGGCTGAGCAATGATAGCCATTGCTCAGAACCAATGTAATTATCTAGCCTATATTTTATAATTTTATTTCTACGTCGCTTTTCCTCCTGGGGACACCTGCAACAGAACACAGACCACTGGGTCTAGAGAAACATGCATTTATTCAAAATGGCTTTGTCATGCTACTTTTCTTTCTTTCTTTCTTTCTTTCTTTCTTTCTTTCTTTCTTTCTTTCTTTCTTTCTTTTTTGCACATTGGAAGATAATAAGAGAGATTTTGTTGCAAGCATTGCTTTCCAAGCAGTCACAGATATAGATGTATTCATCAAAAGTGATGTGGTCTTTTCTTGTTTTTTTGGCCAGGAGAAATTTAGCTATTTTTTTTTTCAATAACGGTAGAAGAATAGTCCCAAAATCATGCACCATAGCACAGTTCTTACCCAGTGTTGGTTGGCTTGGAACAACCTGAGTAGAAGGTTTAGGGGTGAGAGATGTAGTGCAATTTACTCCATTTTCTGCTGGTGTAGGTTTAGGTTCATTGTGAGCTTCTGAAGGTACATCTCCTTGTTCTGCCTAACAATTCAAAACATTCCCCATAAAATACAAAAAAAGGATTTGCGATTAGAGAACTAGCATGAGGTTTTTACTTTCAACATGTACAGATTCCACCCATAACAAACACTAGTATTCCTGTACTAAGATTTATTCAAATTGTTCCTTGTTAAGAAAATTGTTACCTCATCTCTTCTCATTTCACCATCAAAAAAAGGCTCACAAAATAAAATAAATCTAGCTGCCATTATTACTGTTCAACTCTTCTGATTACTTGCAGGAAAATGAGGAAAGGTTTAAAAAAAAACTTGAAATAAAAAAAACCTATCATTTTAACAAATAAATAGGAACAATCCAATTTCAAAATTAATATATAATTAATCAATAAACCCGAATGAACACAGACCCCACCTGGAAAGCTGCAGAAGCTATAGATCGTGTTCGTAAAATAAGCTACTAATTTTAGCTATACAGAATCACAATGTCAATTAACCCTGCCAATGGAAAATGACGGTAACACACATTTTAAAGTCAGTTTCTTTCATTGCTTTTCATCCAGATTTATTATCCCTGAAATAATAATTAAAAAAAAAACCCTAGGCTTAGGCATCCCAGTAAGTCAAGATCGTCCCATTTCTGCCTATGGAGCTCTGTAGACTACTATGTTTTAAGGTAATAACTGCGCAAATACAAGGAACATCAGCAGAATGCACTAGTTACCACTTAACACCATATGACAGAGAATGATTTCTTTCGCTTTCCTTTCAGGATTGTGTCCCCAAAGTCTGATTACTAATTCACCTCTGAGGCACAGCGATAGTTCCCAGGACAGCTTGCCCATAATTATATTCAACAGATAAGCTTACGTAAACAGTACCTCCATCCTTGCCGCATGCTTGGATGACTATGCCTGTACCGTTCAACCTGTTTAAACATTCCCCACAACCTGTACTTCCTTGCCAGCTCTCCATGCCCATGTTTAGAGCTCATTCCTTTTTTACTAGGTACTAATCCTCTCCCCCTTGCTTAAGATCCTATTTATCGGAGGAGACTGAAGATGCCAGCTACACACATGGAAGGGGGGGAAGAAGATCCATAGTTACAGAGCACTGCTAAGCAGTTTGCCTCCTTGAGGTATGAAAATTTATATAAGGAAGACCTGTTGCCATGGTACCTTGTTGGATTAGCTTCTCTGGAGGTTTTCATTAGCATTCTTCACTGGTAATAAACTGATGGGAGGGGGAAGGAGACAGCTCTTTTCTCAAAACCCTTCACCTTTTTTAATAAGAATGTATAGGTTAAACAACAAGGTGGGATCAGTGAAACTGACAACTCTAGTTTTTGCCCGAATGATCATTACACACTACCGATAGATTTTCCTCCCTGCTCCAGTTTAGTACCTCAGAGGATTACCAAGCGTAAATTGGCTCCGACTGTCTATACCTTACAATATATCCAGTCTCACAAATGTAGGAATCATCTGTTTAAATTTCCTCCCTAAAAATTAGGGCAAGGTAGCTAATAAACAATTTATATTGAATTTTGTTTGTTGGCACCGACTGAATAAAAGGAAGAACAAGAACAAGGTACAATAAATAAAAGCTTGGCAGTTTTGCAGATTAAACCAGCTAGCTCATAGACAGATACGGGCATTTATTTGGCTCTTCATTACAAAGATATTTATTTTGCTGGAACAAAAATGTAGTATCTTAAGAGCTGCAGAGAAGCTGCTTACAGAGGCATTGATGTAATGCTGAATTACAGTCAGAGCAATTGTTTGTGGAGGGATCCCTCACCTGGCGCTGAAAGATAACTGCATCTGGAGCAATGCAGCAGATTTATCACACAGTCTAATGCACATAAAACAAGAGGAGAAAGAGGAAGATTTCCTTGGGGATGGGGAATCTTAACACACAGGTGTTCAGACTTGTAGAATTATGACTATGCCATGCTAACTCGAGCATGATTGATGAAGATGAATAAAACGACTGAGTAGCGCTTTATCTTTGTTTTCCAAATTTGGGATTTGTTGTGGCTTGCATTTTTACTTTTGGAAGCTGTTGTATCTAGAAAACATTCAATTACAATAACTGGAGGAAGAAATCTGTATGAACAGGGCTAAGAAGTATAAGTAGGTAATCAGATATTATAGACAGGAGATTTGGAGGAAAGGGTGATTGATTGACTCACTTGTAAGTTTTACACAGTACATATCGGGATTTATGCCCCTTTCCCAGATATGCAGATTCTGTTTGACCGATCTCTAATCATGACTCAGTTGTCCAAGACCAGGGAAGCTTTGATCACACACACATATGCTTAGAATTAAAATTAAACAACTAGCTGCAGGATCTAATATTTTCAATAAAATGACAAAAGTAGTGACACGATGTACACTCCTTTAAACAAAAACATATGAAGAAGGGTTGCAGGATTTGGGTTCGGCTAGTCTAGAGAAAAGAAGGACTGGGGGGACATGATACTATTCCAATATTTGAGAGGTTGCCACAAAGAAGAGGGAGGCAACTTATTTTCCAAAGCAACAAAGGGCAAGACAAGAAAAAATGGATGGAAACTAATCTAGGAGAGAAGCAACCTGGAATCAAGGAGAAACTTCCTAAAAGTGAGAACAATTAACCACAGGAACTGCTTGCCATCAGAAGTTGAGGGTGCTTTAGCACTGGAAGTTTTTAAGAAGAGACTGGACAGTCACTTGTCTGAAATAATATAGGGTCTCCTGCTTGAGCAGGGAGTTGGACTAGAAGACCTCCAAGTCCCTTCCAGCTCTATTCTGATTCTGATATGTTAAGAACATATACAAAAGAGATGGACTTTATGGCACAATGGTATGACACTGCCTTTACTGGTTGCCCCCTTGCCTCCCCACCTCTGGTGGATGTCTCTGTTAGAGGCAGTTTGTGGAAAGACATTTATGGGACTCAAGTAGTAAATATTTTTTTGTAGAAAACCACTGCGCTTAATATGATTAACAATATTTGTAGTTTAAAAAGTTGACAATTATTAAGAAAAATATTTTTCCAGTCATGAAAATTAAATGAAATGTGTTCCATGTCTAAGCTTTTTTTAATTTATAGACATTTAAATGTATATAGTAAAAGTTGCTCATATATGTAAAACAAAATACATGTTTGACAGAAATATACATTTTATGTTAGCAATGCAACCATCTGAAGGAAGGCTTTAACCTGTAAGGATCACTTCTCTTATGCTCCTTTTTGGGAAACTGATTCTGGGGGAAAAAATATCCATCCTATTTCTTATAATAGCCAATTACACTGAATAAATCCACATCATGTTATAAAACATGATGGAATTAGATTTTACCTGCAAAGCAGAATGCAATGGCTGAAATTTTCAGAACAAGCTTCTGTTCTTGTTACTACAGTATTTTGTTTTGTTGCTACATTATTTTGATACTGTTGGAATATGAAACTAGATGGGGAGAAATAGGCTTAGATTCATCTCAAGAGTTACTGTGGATTTGGAAGCCAATTGAGACTAGAAGTAGTTGATGTATGACTCTGTATAGGATAATACCCTCCTTTCCTAATTGACCCATGTGTGGGCCTTCCTGGAAGTCATCGTTCCTGACTGAAAAATAGATGGGGGCCATACCCAGGAAGGCTCTGCCTAATTATCTCATCTGCCTTTCCTAGGTTAGAAGGTCTTTTCTGGATCTGGAGGCTTTCAATGCAGTTCCTTCTGTCCTTTTCACCACATGGCTACAATATTGCTATGTGCTTTTTATATTGGGCTGGTCTTGGAGATACATTCGGAAGCTTCTGGTGGTGTAACTTGCAGCAACCTAGGTAGTTACAGGAACATTAAGGTTCACCATGTAATATCATGAGTATGAAGATTGCAATGGCTGCCAGTTAGGTTTTGGGTGCAAGTCAAAGTATGTCTCCTTTAAAGCCTTACATTAGTCAGAGTCTGGATATATCTATGACTGCCTTCTCCAAAGTAAATTTGCTATTTAGTAAGATCTTGGAGAGAAAGCCCCACACAGTCTGACTACTGAGGGAATATACTTTTATTAGATGGGTGGCCCTATAAATTTTTTAAATAAATAAAGTTTGACCCAAGATTTCAGACTTCTCAGTGATACACTTCCCATCCCTCTGGAAGCAAATAAGCAAGCAAATAAATAAATCGTTCAAGCGACCAGCTGTCTGCAAGGAATATAAATCCTTCCATTCCCCACCATCCAGTCAGAGCTGAAGAAGCTTCTTGGATGAGAAGCGAAATGTCTTCAAAGAAAAACAAGAAAGTCCGGTGGCCTCTTGAAAAAGCACCTTTGGGACAACAATGATCTGGATGACTGAGAATCTCCATAGACATTTCAAATACCAGTTTATTCAATAACATTACTGAGCAGTGTATATGCTTGTGTGTGTAAACTGAAATATAAGCACTTTGAGCTAATGGAATCTGTCCACTGTAGAACAAGACTAGCCACCTGAGTGACTCCATAATTTCCTGCATGTCTTCTGATTATCCCAATCTCTCTGTAAAGGAGCAACTCTCAGCGTAAGGCATACCACTTAAGAAAATATTTGAAAATTGACTTGTGTGGACAGCCTTTACAATATTTATTTTTTCTACAGTCTTACAGAATCTTGCAGTATGCTCAACTGACCCCTCTGTTATTTAATCAGACTCCAATTCTTACCTCCTTCTTTACTTCTTCTTCGTCCTCTAGAGTCAGTGCTGCCAGTTGTTTTGCTCTCTGCTCCATCAGGTTTACGTATCTGATTGGATTAGATAATGCCTCAATAACATCTGCAAATGAGACAGAGATTTAGAAGCCAATGCTGCTTTGTATCAAACAGTACCGACTTTTTGTAAAAAAACAATCTATCTTAAGGTTAGGCTTATTTTTATATTTATTAATCTGCAAAAAACAGTTTAAAGAAAATAGGAGTCCAATGCAACCAGAGGAGGGGGAGTTAAATTCCAATTTTGACATAAAAAGCAGGGACGGGTGCAGGAAGGAACAATATCAGTAGTTTATTGCGTAGCAACATGAAATCAAGGAACACAGTTCAGAGTCTTCAACAACTGAGCACCTTCTTCGAGCTCTACTCGCTGTCTCAGGTTTTTAATGTAAAGGTTTAGTTAACATTAGTTATTATAGATGCTGACAATATGCTTCATAAACAAAATGATTGTAAATTAAATTTCTATTTTATCTTCATAAATTTGATAGTTACCTGCGTAGGTATCAGGTACGTAATCCTTAACCTCAATGCACACAAATATGGCTGGCAACATCAAGGGCTGATTCCTTTCATTCCTCAGGCAAATATAATGATAACCTGGGGGGTGGAAAACAGTGGGACAGCTACTCTCTCTGATCTTCCATTTTTCTTACGTTAATGAATGCAGTACTGCAGGCAATACAAGCACAGATCACAAAAAACTGATGAATGTTTAACTTGAGTAAGACAGTTAACATTCAAGTTCATGAAAGTAAGCTGTAAAGAACAAAGGCCCATCCATCACAATATTTTTGTGTGCCTGAAATGCCCAGTGACTCAGGAGGCTCCATGTGAGTACAGACACTTCCTTTCACTTGCATTTTTATATTTTGAAAACCACCTTTTGATTAAAAATCTGGAAAACTGGAGCTGTAAGACTACTGGCAGCCATTTTGTGTCACCACTTATAATGTGTTCTCACAATGCAATTGTGCCCCTTAGTCCAAAGAGAGTGGGAAGACCTGCTCAGGTGCTTGAGCGGCAATATGCAGCCTTGGAAAAGCCTTGGTTTGTTAGGAAGCTCAGAGGTAAGCTCAAAGAAATAAGGCTTAACATTTGCTACTGGAGTGTTATAAATGGAAAATACCATTTTGTGTTTCAGGCTTGTAACTGTGTAGAAGCCCTCTCAGAGAAGGGAGACATCATGAAATTAGAGGAAGGACTGATAACATTGTGGGCCAATGCAGGAACACATCTCAGAGATGATCCAACCTGAAATTGAGGGTTTGTGAAAGCTTCCTTTCCTATACTGTATGTCCTTTTCTAAATGGTCAAGGCCAGTTTTGGGATCAGGGTTCAGTGCCATTTCTCCTGGAAACAATCTCCACAGGAAGGAGCAGCAGCAATCTTGGCTGGAGAGTATGGGGGAAGGAGGCTGATTCATCTGACCTGGGGCTCAAGATGTCATCTCTCAGTAAGTCCTGTCATAGTTATATAATTATGTGTGCAGGAAAGATGTTACCTGAGTTCAATTTGTCTTGTTCCTTCTTTCAAGATTAATGCAATAACAAAACCAGCAACAATAACCCAATCTCTACCTGGTCGAATTGCTGATACTGGTAATATCCGATGTCCAATAAACTTTCCTCCTTCTTCATAAGCAGCTATCCTCAAGCATGCTAGAGAAGGCAGGACCACCTGGAGAGATATTTTTTAGTGTTTATGGTGCACTACATATACAAAGTTGGAATAAGAAGCATTGTCACAGAGATATTTCTGGAAACTATTAACAGAATTTGAATAATAATAATAATAATAATAATAATAATAATAGTAGTAGTAGTAGTAGTAGTAGTAGTAATAATAGTAGTAGTAGTAGTAGTAGTGGTAGTAGTAGTAGTAGTAATACACAGTCCAAGTCTTTGGCTAACTTTTCTCTCACTCATTCACACAGAGTAAATTACCCTTGGGAACTATATAAACATGTCCATGTGGTAGTTTTCTTGGCAACTATACAGAAGTAGTTTGTTTTTTCCACGATTTTTTGTTTCTACTTTTCAGTCTAGTCTATACTTCTGAGATTTCTTGGTGGTTGCCCATCCAAATATTAATCAGATTTCACCCTGCATAACTAATTGAGATCAGCTGAGATCAGCCACAAGAAAGAAAGCAAAAAAGATAATCCAAGTCTCTTTTTCTAAATACTGGAATGAACTGTAGTAAATGAGTTTAAAAACATTATAATTAATAAGAAAAGCATATTTTTTTTCTCTTGCATATTCTTTATGATGACAGGTGGTCTCGTCTAGCAACCACAATTGGAACTAGCAATTCAGTCACTAAACAAAGTGATTGCTAAGTGAAACTGTGACTGTGTTTCTGATCTTCACCTCTGCTTTGCTTTACAGTCATGCAAGGGTCATAAATGTGAGTATTGGTCATAAAGTTACTTTTTTAATCATTATCATAACTGTGAATAGTCACAGAATGAGCCAATTGTTAAGTGAAGACTACCTGCATTATCTCTTGAAGATGGTTCTGATCTGATGTCACAATTGTCTAATGTCACCTATCAGAGTCTCAGCAACAGCTGATGTCACATAGAATCCTTTTAATTCTTAAAACCGACAGCGTAAAAGCAATGAAAGACTGAGAAAGGGTATGTGGAATCTCCTGATATCTAGGAGCAGCCCACATCCCACAGAAAATGGCCACAGGGTGCCAAACTTGTGGATACCAAATTGGCTCAAACCATGTCAAAGTGTTCTTGTCAAAAGCAGGAGGATTTGGATGAGCAATAATCAGCTTATCTAATGGGCAGTAAGAGTTCTCATACTATAACTTAACTATTAAAATTCAGTACTCAATTGTTCTGAGAAAAAAAATTAAGTATATAAACCATTTGATGTAGCAGGTTTGTTAGTTTCATTCTTCTTCTGTAACTCTTAGCTCAAACTTGTATCATTAAACATTAAATGTTTTTAATATTTGGCACCCAAAATAGTCAATAATTTCCCCATCATTAGCTTTAATGTAGAGAGAAGACTCACATCTGCTTCTCAGAACGCACTTTTCGTGTGTCAATCACCTGCTAATGCAGAACTTAAAAGAACAAGCTTTCAACTAACTTCCTTTATTCTCTCAACATTAATCCCTCCCTTCTTTCTGTATATGGATATATTAAAATGTCTTGCAGTATTGCATTAGGGCTTACAAAAAAGTATTAATTTTTTCTTTAGATGCTTATTAATTCCTCCTTCTTCCTAAAAACCCTCCTATCAAATATACCACAATATCCTAGAAATATACTACTTTATATTACTATGATTAGGTTAGGGTTATGATTTTCATTTGGGAATAAATGTCTATCCAATAATTGGGTTAACTCTCTTTTCCTTTAATTATTTGTGTAGTGTCATTTTACTTGGAAAAATGGCTATTTATTGATTTTTTTAAAAAAAAATGCAATTTATAAAAGTAGAGGAAAAAATAATATGCAAAAGAAAAGAAAAGAAAAACAGTAATATCCAACAACTTAATGAATTATAAAATTGTAATACCATAACAAAAATAAAAAATAAACAGAACTCCCTTCCCCAAATTAAGACACTAACTATGCTAACAAATCACCTAAAAATGTAACATATGCCTTTAATCATGTAAAAAATAATATATTGAATTGTGCATAGAATTTGCTTGTAAAATATTATGAAATCCATATCAAAAGGAAACCTAGTACAGGGGACTATCTTTTTAAAAATGGATAAACTACACATTCCTTGATTGGTATCAGGGTAATAATACTCTCCCAATTGCTCAATATAATCCTGTTGTCAATTTCTCATGCCTGATATAACAATGGTCTTAAAATGGTCTGATTTCACAATTTTGAAATATAATTTCAAAATAACACTGACATCATTAATTTGAAGACATTTACCGAGACATCTGCCTATAGATATCACAATATTTTTCCTCAAAGAAAAATCCTCAAATCCCAAACTGGACATGACCAAATCATGAACAAACCCCCGTTACTTTTGAAAATCTTTGAATCAATTACTTTTTAATGATTATTTTAACAACTTCAACAACTACAACTAGAATTTTCTCTGCCTAATACAAATAAATGCCAATATTACCAACTTTAAAATGTGTTGATTTCTCAATATTTAACTCAACTCTCATTCAATATCAGACTCTATATAATAGAATGTCTTTCTACCTATTTTTACTTTTTCCACAAAGGTAAACATTCATTTGACTTAGCATCAAAATTCAATCTACAGGCCAATAAAGCCCAAATATGTCTTTAACTGCATGTAAGCCAGGAAATTAAATTCTTTTTTTGCTGCATATTGACCCAAGAAATTGTTAGGAGCCTAACAGAGATAGATAATAATTCTCCATTAAGCCCATATACACTTAAAATTCTCATTCTAATTAAATATAAATCCAATCATATTTTTGATAGTCTGGTAAATGAAAACCTCCTTCTTCAAAAAATAGTCTCAGCTTAGCCAAAAAAATCCTTGTGAACCTGCCACATTAGTTTAAGTCAGATAGCATAGGAAAAGGTGTACTGCCAATATAGGATGATATACCCACTAAATAAATATACATTATATCTAAATATAAATATATATAATGTAAGTTTGCATCATGTTCCAATTCTGAATATAAATACATTTTGGAGTACTATTTCTGTCTCATTGAAAATCCATAACTAGATCACTAATAATTAAGTTATCGAAAGACATAGTAATTTTTTTAAAAAAAATCTATGAAATGTTTCTGCATAAGTTTTGGAAGACTGGTAAAGTTTATCAAAGAAATGTGTCAATCAAATCTCTTTGGAGAATAAGGTATACATCAGCTACATATTCTTAAACCGTATATTTGTTAAATAAAATCATGACTCCAGTAACCTTAGTACTATTATGCCAATATATCATAAACCTATCAAACCAATTTTTTTTTTCTTTTAACAACCCTGTAATCCTTTGCATCAGGAGGAACTGAGCATTTACTGGCCGGATGCCCCTCCTGAAGCCTATGCAGAGTTTGCAGCAGATATTTTCTCTGCACCCAGAGAGAAAAATATCTGTTGCTATCTAGGATAGAACTCCACTGCTTTGTGATTGTGAGGCGAGAGTTCCACCTCTTGGTCACAATGCCGCTTGATATCAATACCAAACCAATATAAGACCGAAGTTTTTTCATCATAAAAAAATTAAGGATAATGTCCTGTCAGCCCTTCAAAGTAGGCCATGTCACAAGACTGACATCACAAGAAATACTAAAACTTGACTTTGTATTGGTACAATAGCAGAATCTTGACAATATGACAGTGTTTCTCCTCCTCTTATACCAGAGAGTAAAGACAGAGCAACTGTAAGTTTTTTTCTCCCATTTTCTTGTTTTCCAGGTTGAGCTCAATTTTTTTTGCTAATAATCACCACACACCTTCTATCTCTTTTTGCTCCTCTACACCTCTTCATTGCATAGCTTTTTAAAACAATTTTAAAGCTTAGTAACATTACACATACTTTATATTCTGGCTTAATAATCTAAAAATTGAAATGTAATAAAATAAATCAAAAAGGGTAAGCTGTATTTGATGGCAAAATATGAAATGATGACAAATAATAATAGCAATTAGTATACTGGTATACTCGGGTAAATTAAAAGGAAAATGAGTATAAACAAAAAACATAAAACAAGAATAAAATAAATAACTTCCTAGGAGAGACTATTTGTTGATTTGTTTAAAAGATCTGTATGACTACCTATCAGAGCACAACTCTAGGCAGCTCATAACAACAATAAAACCACAAACATAATAACATCTGTAACAATTGCCTTAGCCATGAAAGCCAGCTGTGGGCGACTTTGGGCCAGTCACTGTTACTCAGCCCAACCCATCTCACAGGATTGTTGTTGTGGGGAGAATAGGAGGAGGAAGGTATGTTGGTGATGTTTGTCCCCTTGACTTATTGGTAAAAATAATAAAGATGGAATGTAAATAAATATAAATAAATAAAAAACAAAATGAAGACCTGGTACCTCAGTTATTCTTCTGAGATGCCCCAAGAAACCATCCATAGGCTCCTCGCTTTCTACTTCTATCATATTCACTGTCTGACCAACAAGTGCCAACATTATTACTAAAGTAATAAAATAAATACTAATAATAAAAGAGCAAGACTGGAAAAGAAGGATCCACATAAAATACAAATATGGGCAGCCATGTAAGTCTTATAAACAAATCAATAAATAAGTTCAACTAGAATAAATCACATTTTATCAGTAAGCACTTAGGAATCTAAACTTAAAGGAAGAAATCTTTCTTTGCAACTCAAGTGGAACAGAATTAGAGCAGACAGAATTTTTAAGTGATACAAGTTGGCAAAATCAGAATATAATAGCCATGCATTATTCTTTTGCAGAAGGATCAAATACAAATACCAACCTTCTTAAACACTATGGCTTCTTCTTCCCATACAGGATTCACAGCATTGCCTTGAGATGTCTTTGTCTTGAGAGCTTTTCTTCTTGTATCCACAGGCAGACCAAACATATCCACTTCGACGTAAGTTCCAACTTTTTTGTCAGAAAGAAACTGCCCAGAAATGACCTAAAAATGGAAGGTTGAAACGTTCTACTAACACACCTTTGCTGCAATTCAACACATGTTGACTAAATTACTTGCTTTCTTAATATGTAACGCTTACAACAAGAGAAAATGTACAACAGTGCTTGGTTTGGGAGAATTTACCATCTGTCCCTCACCACAGACTGATCACTCTGTAATTGTCTTGGAAGGAGTACCTATCCCAGGTACCTGTTGGACCCAGCTGGGTTTCAGAAGGAGCTGGGGTAATAGTAGTAGTAGTAATAATAATAATAATAATAATAATAATAATAATAATAATAGTAGTAGTAGTAGTAGTAGTAGTAATAATAATAATAATAATAGTAGTAGTAGTAGTAATAATAATAATAATAATAATAATAATAATAATAATAGTTGGAAGGGACCTTGGAGGTCATCTAGTCCAACCCCCTGCTCAGGCAGGAATCCCTATACCATTTCAGACAAATGGCTGTCCAGTCTCTTCTTAAAAACTTCCAGTTTTGGAGCATTCACCGCTTCTGGAGGCAGGTTGCACAGTTGCACAGTTCAACTGGGACCTTGAATTAGATTGGGCTTATGTGGCTCCCCTCTGTTTACAAAAATTTTGAATGACAAAATGATAGAAGAGGCATACAGAGTACCATTGGAGGACAACAAAGAATGACCACACAGGTTAGAGACTTTATTCAAGATTAGTTTGGTGATAAAAGTAGTAGAAAGTGAATATTTTTCTTCCTTTATCAAGTCCAAAGATAGCCAGTTGGCAACCCTACTGAGTTGTGGATGATCGTATCCCAATTTGGTAGGACAGAGTCTGTCATTACTATAGGGCCATTGTGAGGAATATTCTAGGCATTTGTTAGATAAAATTGCTCAGATTTGCTTATATGAGTCTGGCTTTGTTAGCTGGGATGAGTTTGAACCTGCTAGTCCCAAGGAAGCAGACAGGCTCCTTAAGGCTGTGAGTTTGACCAGCTATATATTAGACCCCTGTCCATTCAGGTTGGAGGTCTCCTGGGAGACATGTGAGTGAGTCCAAGCAATGGTAAATTCATCCCAGAGAGTGGATGTGATCCTGCTGATATTTTAAGGAAGAGGCAATCCTACATCTCCTCGAATAGCCATAGCTGGTCCAACCACACTATACAATTTTCATCCTGCCTCCAACCTTCCATTTTTAGGGAAAGTTGTTGAGAAGGTGCTTATATTTCAGTTTTAGAAGACCCTAGAGGAAGTGGATTATATGGATGTCTTTCAGTCAGGCTTCAGGCCTGGATATGGGACCAAAATGGCATAGACTTGCAGATGACCTGTAGTGGGGATGATGCATCCATCTTTCCTTGATCTTTCAGTGGTTTTCAATACCGTCAATCATGACATTCTTCTAGACCAGTTGAGGGAGTTAGAAGATGGGAATTTAGTGTGGCAACGAATTTTCTTCTTCTTCTTCCAGGACTGGTTCCAGTGAATGTTCATAGGAGGGGAGATAATTGACCCTTTTTTTGTGGGCTCCCCTCGGATAATAATGTCTCCCTGCTCTTCTGAATTTTTTGACTACTGGTTCCTTTACTGTTGATGGTTGATTCTAAAAGGCAGAAGCAATCCACCACTTTGATATGTTCATTATCAATTCTAAGGCTAATTATTTTACCTTTGCCATCAGTTTGATCTTCTTTTTATTTAATTTCAATCCCTTTTTTTACCGTGTTCCTTGACTTTGTTCCTGATGTGCAGATCCTTTGCATTTTTATCTGTTAGGATAGTGTCATCAGCACAGTACAGCTTGTTGAAGTTTCTTCCTCCAGTTTTAAAACCACATTCACCTTCTTCCAACTCATCTTCCTTTAATATATATTCAGTGTACAGGATGAATAAATAAGGGGAGCATATACAGCCTATTTAAAATAGTAGGTAAATTAATTAAGCTTGTTTTCTTGTCCAAACATGCATATCATCTTCCTTTCTTCAATTTTGGACATAATTTCTATTTTCTGGGTTATAAATATCTGAATGTGACTTGTTCAATATGCTTATAACAAGAAACTTGCATATATGAGATTCACACTTTTTTAAAATATTGGGAATACGTTTTTAAGTGCATGAGAAGTTATTTTGGTCTTTCAGGTTCAGTATGCTTATAGAATTTAGCAGATGAACAACTGAATACCTACCTTCACAGACAAAGTGTTTGCAACTATTCCATCTACAATACTTTCCGTAAATGGATCAAAATGCTTGTCTGGTCTTCTCATGAACTCTGGTTTTAGTCTGTATCCACTTTTGCCATTATATTCATACATCCCCATATTTATTTGCATAGACAAATCTATATGAGAAAAATAATTGTGTTATGGGATACTACACAAATACATTAATGAGAATAGAGAAAGCCTAACAAATTGACAAAAGTACGATACTAAAATTTAATGGCTTCCTATGCTCTTTAAAAGCTTGAAGTTAATATACTGTGTCTGTAAAAATAAGAAGCTAATTTTCCATTTAACATACAATATTTTGTGTTTATCTTCAGGATTATTAAAGATTTTTTTAAACTATATCCAAGGCAATGATAGATTTTCATCTACATATAGATTGGATGTTTCTGAATATGCTCAACAACAACATGTAAAGTGCTGTGACTTGCCTAAAGTGTTGTGATTAATCATAAATCTTCCTATTTATGCTGCTCACTGAATCTGTGCAAAATAACAGTTCCTAAAACCAGCTGGATGAAGAGACCTCTTAGTCTTTGTCCGTGGTCTGGTTACATTATGTACTGAATTTTTTTTTAAAAAAAAACACCATTATCCCCTCCAGAGAGCTGAAAAAGATTCTATTTGGAGAGACAATGTCACTTGCCTCACTACATGTTTGGCAGTTGTAACAAAGCAGAAGTGAGGTAGTCAGCTGCCAGAAACAAATCTCTCTGATAATTAATAATTGCCAGCTATGCTGCCAAATTCATTAAAACCACGTGCCACTTTTTAATAAAGCAGTGAGTGCTTTCATTTTGATTTCACACCAACTGATCTTCTTTGAAAATATGGATTCTCAGCACTGAATTGGTAATACAATTCTGAATTGGGTAAATGAAAGCCTTTCTACATTATCATGTCTGCGATTCAGATGGGGACAGGAACAAATGAACAATCACTTGCAAATATTAATTTCCTACTGCCTATATTCACGTTTCTTACTGCTCATATTCATATGCTTATTATATTTTCTCAGATATATTGCTTTTATTAAAATATGTTCCTCATTTTAATATCACTACAGAGCTAGGATCATAAAGTCCATCAAAGAAACACTGAGAACACCAACCCATCTAACTAAATAAATGGTAATCGTGATTTGCTTAAAAAGCTTCTATTAACACAGATCACTTATTCATGCCACAGTTTTAAAGAGGCAATGGTTTCAGGAGACATGTGCATGACACTCTTTGTATCTTTAATTTTTCATAAACTAGGTGCTTCATTATCTACTATTCTTCCTTATCAGAAAACATACAGTAACATAGACCTTACCTACAGTTTGGAAGTTAAGAGCAACCATTTGACAGCCTGCATTCCAGAACAGCTGAGGCATGTAATTTGAGGAATCAACACGTGTCCCTTTTGGGTAAATTCGGCTCAGCTGCATTTTATTATATCTAAATTGTGAATGGTTAAGATAAAATACAACTGGAGAAACTACTAGGTTAAAAGTTTACAGAATAAAATACTTGTTAATTTTTGAAAGAAATGGTGATGCCAGATTCAGCGCTGGCTTTTTCTTATCTGTTGCTGTTATCATATTTATAGGTAAGAAGTTGTATCTGGCCTTAAAATTAAAATAAATTTGATTTGATAATAAGGATGGAACTGATTCTGAGAATATAACAGATTCTGATTTGCAAAATGAGTATTTTTGCTAGGAAATATTGCAGGAAAGAGCTAAAATAAACAAATCCAAACTTCCTTGTTGCCCAAGGCCAATCTGCAGATAGCTGAGATAACCAGCACTTACATGTACTCATCCATGCCATCATGACACAATGAGCCTTGTCACTCAGAAGCAACTAAGAAGATGAGCGGGCTCTTCTAGAAAGAGGTGCCATCATACATGGCAGTGGAAGAGCCTGGAAAATGGCTGCCATCATTATGTAATAATATTGGCTTTACAGTCCCACAAAGTGCTGATTTATAGAATCAGAAGAGCCTCCATGAATTCTGCTTTGTATCTATGACTATTTTGACCCTTCTTTATATAAAATATATCAGCAAGCAAGCAAAAGAGTGGTAGAATCCAAGGACTGATCTTATTTCTTGGACAGATCCTGAAAATAAATCTACAAAACTCAAGATAAATAAATAGATTAAAATATTCCCAAAATACACCTATATATCTTGGAACAGAATTGTTGCTCGCTTGACACAAAACATGATAAATGGGGGCAAGAAGAAGACTATAATCTCACTACTGGAAACATGAAAAGCTTCCTCATATTAATGAAGTCTTAATCTGAAAATGTCAAGTCTGATTGGCAGCCACTCTTCAGCAGTAATTATGTTTCTTATCAGCAATTAATGTAGTTGTTTTTATTTTAATTAAAAATGTCACGGAGCAACAATATGTCATTTGTTCTATTCTATGCTAATTTTTGTCCATGTAGAATCCACTCTGAGAAACTATAGATATATCCAGAATATATAATTGATAAGTACTGAATTAGGAATGTACACCTCATTCATTTCTGTGTCGCTCTTCTAAGTTTTAATTGAAAAAGATGAATACTTTTGTGGAAAAAAAAAACCTCTGATGTATCTATCAACATTATTTTGCTATCCAATTACTTCTATATAGTGGCGTTGCATGCACGTTTCTTCAGCCTAAATTAATTTTCAGTAATGATCCTCAGCAACCACTATTCCTCAGGTTGGAAGTTTTTCTAAGATATTTTTCTCAGTTTCAAAGATACTCCACAAACTCGACAGGAGATTTTGTGAGCTGTTCAAGTGCTTTGGTTTCCACAAAGGAAGACATTTCAAAACTCTTGTTTCGTTCTGTAATTTAAAAAGAAAAAAAGTCACATTTTTAAAAAATTAAGATTATGCTTTATGTTGCTCAACATAAATCAATCCATCTAGCTTCACACCAAAGCTTTATCTTGTTCACATTCAGTTCCCAAAGAGGTCAATTAGAAACCCAGGAATTCCTGTAATTAAGAAAAATGTAATAATTTATGCTCTGGCAGCAGCAGTCCATACATTTCAGATATTGAAGACAATAGACAATTCTGTTTGCGGTTTTCAGTACACATTTTTATCTGTCTCCCCACCATTTTACATTGGATATGCCTGGTTTTTAATAATATGACGGGCAATACTTACAGGTAGCTGTCATCTAAATCTGCAGTATTCAAACCATGTTCCCTGGAGGTCCAGGGTTTCATAGACTCATCCAGGGATTCAACATGACTAAGGGCTGTGTGGCCTTTATTCCTTTGTTTTATTTTTTTTAAAAAATAGTCTATGACAAAATATTACATAAATATTATTTGCTACTGCACTGATTTTTCATATTGAGAAGAGTTCCTCAAGTATCTCAAGTCTGAAGGCCATTGACTAGATCAATGGTTTGTTTATTTTCAAACCGTCTGTATACCGTTTACACAACAGCAAATTGAAGTCATACTAATTACACCATGCTGCAAATGATGCCTATGAAAGTTTAATCACTGGACATTTGGAAAGTGAAGTAGGCTCTAGAAAATATTGCTATCAACTGAACTGCAAGAGTTGATGATAAACCAATAGTATTGATTTAAAACTTGTAAAGTGATCCACTTGAAATGTTTGTTTGTTAAGAAATGGTACAAAAAAACACAGTAATGACCAAAGGACTGGGTCAGATTTATGCCCCCCCTCAAAATAATGCTAATGAATACTAAAAATAGTGAACAATGGCATTTATCTCAAATAATGGATAATATCAAAACTTTGTAATCCAGAATTCAACAATACATGGAATAATTTCATGTATGAGAATTGACAGAAGTATATTTTGTGGGAATGGGTTTATTTGTTTAATATTAAAGAGTGTAAACCTGATGAATTTTGTCATTGGGGGGGGGGAGTTATTGTTTTTACTGTTTATCGGGTTTTGATATTTTGTAAGCTGCCCAGAGTCACTGAGAGTGAGTGGGCAGCCATATAAACTCTCTAAATAAATAAATAAAACAACCGATATGAGACAGACTGTCATACTGATTATAATTACAGAGTGCCATTTGAGACAAAAGTATTAAGGGCACAGTAACATAAAATAGAAAAAAAAAATTTTGGGGGGGGGAAGCTAGCCTTTAGTCTTTCTCTTACAATTGAGACACTTTCATTTTGGGATTACAATATTCTAATAGCAACCACTAGGAAAGTAGTAAAAAAAAGCAGAGAGGAGGAGAGGATCACTAGAACAACCTGCAGAGAGAAGAGTTATATCAGATTTACTTCAAAAAGTGTTCAAGGAATTCAGTAGTAAGTTAGCTGACTCACTTGAAATTAAATTGATAGCTACTGAAAAAGAATGAGTCAAAGACTGTAAATATGAAACAGGAGAGGAAGGAAGTTAAAGTGGAAAGCTCTGTAAAATGAAGTGTCAGGAAATATAAAACTAATGATAAAGTGGAAATTCTGGAGAGTAAGAAGTTGTAGACAGAAATCTCCTTTCAAGAAAACCAGATAATTTGGCTTTAATGGAATTAAGAGAGAAGGAATTTTCTTTGAGATTTAGAGCAACCCCAGGGGATTCTGGTGAAGATATTAGAGAAAGGGTAATTAAAGCCTTTAGGGAAACCCCTTATGAACTTTTTGTGTAAAACAGAACAAAATGATGATTTTGATGATTAGACAAGATAGATTATAGAAAGAAGAGAGTTGTGTTGTAACCTTAGAATCAATTTATAATTGTACTTATAACTGCTGTAAAGATTGGAAGCCACTTTGAATTTTTTTTGTTTCTTTTCCATTTTTCTTTTATTTCCCTCCCTTTCTTGCCCTTTTAGCTTTTTCTGGTTTTTTTTTCTTTTCTTCTACTTATTTTGTATTTATTTCTTAAGAAAATGTATATGGCCACCCAACTCACTCTCAGTGACTCCAGGTGACTTATAAGATAAAAGCCCAGTACAAAAACCAGTATTACTTTTATTCATTTTTATCTTTCTTTTTAAAAGGAAAATAGTTTAAAAGGAAGTAAATTTGCTAGTAAAAATCATATATGATACAGATAAAGAATTGGCATAAGCACTTGCACCAGCCTTCTTCAATTTTCTGTTTTTCAAATGCAAGGGTGTCATAATTCCCCCAAATTCCCATCCAGTATGAAATACCCCACATGAGACTTTTACATACATGCATTTATTCAATGACCTTCCAAAGCAGACAAATAACATGTGTCCAGAGTTTAACACTGTGTTTCATCATTCCCATCCGTCACCAATAATAAATTCAGTCAAGTGTAAACATATTTTGAGAAAGCAAATAGAGCATAGTGTAAATATCACAGGCTGCTTAACAGGAGTATTGGAAGCCGTAATTCTTATCAGCAGTGCACACTGTTAATTCAGTGGATGCAGACTTCCTTTGAAAACGTTAAGAGAAGAAGACACAATTCTCTGCTCTATCAAATAAAATGAAACAGGACAGGGTCTCAACGGTGCTCTGCTCTAAGTAAGGGAAATGTGATAAAGCAGTGATGGCGAACCTTTTAGAGACCGAGTGCCCAAACTGCAACCCAAAACCCACTTATGCATCGTCGGGTGCCGGGTGGGTGTGGCCCATTCGGTGGCGTGGCTGCGGTGGTAACAGCAGACTGGGTGGGACTAAAAAGTTCAATCAATCAATCAATTCCAACTTTGCAAGATCTTTTTTTTCCCGCGAGAAGTTGAAATTGACTGACTGATTGAACCGCGGAGGTCTAAAGCGAAAAGGTTTTATAAAACCCAGCTGAAGGCCTAGGACAGGGGCGACGGGGCGCGTGCCCACAGAGAGGGCTCTAAGTGCCGCCTCTGGCACCCGTGCCATAGGTTCGCCACCACTGTGATAAAGTGTATTCCCAGCAAGGTAATTTTAGCAATAACCAGCTGGAAATCCTAAGTATGGACCATTAATTTCTAATGAGTGATTTAAAAATAAGAAAAACAATGTAATGGTTTTGTACTCTTGTCCTGTGTTGTGCCTATAATTGAAAACACTTTGCAGAAAATAAAAGCACCATAAATGAAACTAAGACAAAAACATTTAACACTTCCTTCCTTGCATTGTGGCATGACAGAACACTACCAGAGTACTACTTTTAAAATACTTGGGAACATAAACCCACCTTGCACATCTTATGTCTCTTTAAACTGAGAGGAAGAGGGTTTCCTCTCCTTTTTACACTGTTCAGCTTGTTCATTTGTAAGTGAAAGCATTCCTTAAGAAGTTGCCAGAAGATTTCACAGCTGTCTTGTAGAAAAAACTGAAATCTTCACTCTTCAGAGGAACTGCCAAAACATCTCCATGTAACTTGAAAGCTAATCCACTATTAGCAAATAGTTGGCACTATATACCTTTTCAGTTTACTACTGTGTCTTGGAAATGGAAAAAAAGATTGATGATACAAGCTACACCCAACCAACACTAAATGGTAAGGAGTGAATAATCCACATACTTACTGTTAGAGGTCTCAAATGACTCAAACTTTACAGGCTGTATATAATTGACTAAGTTTGACATTTCCTCAGTAGCCATGGCCTCACTTCCAGCTGTCCCCTAGAACAGAGTTAAACTAATATTAACAGAATGTTTTTCACTAAGGCTGACTGAACTTCTAGAGTTCTGCTCTTCTCCTTTAAATGTTTCCATACCTCAAAGGGAGAGGAACACATTTAAATCCTAAAATATGATGTAGAAGAACACACAAGTCAACCATTTATTTTATTTTACTTACTCAGCTTTGTGGAGTTAATTCAGTTCCATAAGCAATGTAACATAGTATATATGGAGCAGCATCCCTACATATTTCAACATCTGCTCTCATTAAGGACTGAGCATGCTCTTTTCAAAATAAAAAGCCTACAGAGGTTATTTACAAATGGTTGCAGAATTAAACTAAATTAGACAGGGTGACGTGGAATAAAGAATTGGAATGTTTGGTTTATGAATATCAATAGGAAGCTCTTTTTTGGCACCCATCTTTTCCATTACTCTATATTTAAATATTCATAAAAGCAGGGCTTTTTTTTGTCATAGAACGCCCAGAACGGAGTTCCGGCACCTTTTTGGGATGGAACCTTGTAGGGTAGGCAAGGCGGGTTGTATGACGTGTGTGAGTTCCGGCATCTTTTTTTTTTTTTTTTTACAAAAAAAGCACTGCATAAAAGTATGTGTATATTGGACTCTTATACCAGAAGTCCCCAACCTGTGAGTCGCAGCCCACTACTGGGCCATGGGCTGTTGGCCATTGGGCTGCCTGAGTGGCTGGCCACACGCGTACAACCTCCCCACTCGTGCTAGCGTCACAGCGGCGCATGGGCACTAGCAATACTGTGAGCGTTGTACAGGCGCTTGCATCACGAGTGCATCCTCCACTCGCGCTAGCATCACGGTGTTGTGCAGGCACTATCGTCACCATGAGTGCACACTCCCCAACTCGCATTAGGATCGCGGTGGTGCATAGGCACTAGCATCACTCAAACGCCGCGCGGGAGCTCGTGGCCCTGTCGTGCGCACAATTGTGGGTCCGTTCGTGCACATACTTGTAGCTCCTTTCATGTGTGCGTGTGCACGTAAAGGTGTCTCCACCTCCCTCCTGCACCAGGCCCCCCAAAAAGTTTGGGGACCCCTGTGTTATACAGTATGCCTTTTTTTTAGAAGAACAGCTTTAACTGGCTATTGAGAAAGTGGTCCATATGATCTGATTATGTGCTACAATAAGTTATAGACAGAAATTATTTCATATATGAATCTTGGAAGACTTTATTTTCTACATTTTAAAGACATATATGTGGAGTTTGGAAATTAATGGATGGATGATAGCAATGGAACCTGCGTACTGTTATGGTAAAGGTAAAGGAGTCCCTGCAGATTTTACTCCACTAGTCGTTGCCAACTATAGGGGGTGGTGCTCATCTCTGTTTCAAGTATATTTAGCCAGCGCTGTCCAAAGACATTTCTGCGGTCATATGGCCAGCATGATGTCATGGAGCATTGTTACCTTTCACCTGTAGTGGTACCTATTTATCTACGTGCATTTGTATGCTTTCAAACTGCTAGGTTGGCAGAAGTTGGGGCAAGGACGGGAGCTCACTCCATCACGTGGCGCTCAGATTTTGAACCTGAGCTGCTGGCTTTCCAGCTGATGAGCCCAGCACCTTAACTGCTGAGCCACTGCAGCGCCCATTAGAAGTAATTTCTTTATTATGGTCACAAAGAAATTACTGTAAGGCCAGAAGGAGATTCATTTACCAACAGCTGTTAAAAGGTCTGAAAACCTCACCTTGCCTTGTACTTTTGAACAAGCTTGTGTCCAACAACATTTCAGTTACAATTTTACCTTTCTTGTTTACTAGATATAAATATTGTAATATATAAATACTGTAATTCTATAACATTATACTTGTGCATGTATCAGGGTAATTTCTATCTTTCTCTCTCTCAAAAGACAGCAATCAAGACAAAGAGTAATAGATATTTTTATCTTATTGGAGCCAGACCGTTTCTATATATGAATAAGGCACAAGAGAACTAGGTGTGGAGATGTCAGAAAGCAGAGGGCTAAACATGCGTCAAATAAATTCACCTAAAACTGGAAATCTCTTACATATGTTTTGGACCAGCAGTAAAAAAAAATATGTCATTTGGCTTACAGCTGGGTTTTGGTTGTTACTATCCACAAGATGGCAGTAGAATACTGACTCCTGTGGATAACTACCGTATATAGACCTACAGTATTCCCAAGTCATACCAGGATAACTTGTACTTCAAAATGATTCATTCCTTACTTCCTCCATTGATGATTTTTTGAGGTCATCATCATAGTCATCATCATCATCACTCTCCATTTCTGCTTCACCTGCAATATTTTAATTGGCAAATAGAAATCTTAATGGGAACATCCACCAATATTCACACATATTTTGATAAAAAATACCTTTGTTTCAAAGCAATTGCACTATTATAAGACCTACTGCACAGATGTTTTCCTTCCAAATTATTTATGAGGCAAAGAACCAAAACAGTGCCTTTTATGACAAAAACAAGCAAGCAAGCAAACAAACAAAAAAACCCCAGCATCATGGCCCTACTTGCACATTTTTGTTTTTTTAATATTATGGAAATCATTATCTAAGGTTTTATTTTCCATTGATGATTCAAATGGTTCTTCACTTTTGTCTGAGACGTAAATGTAAAGGCTGTTTCCATTATTCATAACTTTACCAGATACATGCATAAATACACACATATATACAATATATACAGACACAGTATTATCCAACACACCCTAAAATTGACTTCACCCTCTGCTTGTTTGTGGAGATGTCTTCAATCAGCCATGACTTAAAGTGGAAGTTGATCTAATAGTAAATCTCTTAGTGGCACTGCAAGCTTTTTTTTAAAGATGCTAGTCAGGCCCCTTTTCTGTTTGAGGTTTCTGGGCCTTGGGATTGAAGGCATGACCTCTTTTAATGCTTTTATTTTTAATGCTACTCTGTGACCGTAATAAAAATAGATTGATTGGCCTCTTGCTGGCAGGTTCTGTATTTTCAGAATACAGTTGGCATTTTCAGAAGTCAGGTGGCATCCTCCCCTTTTGTATTCAGGAAGATTTTATTTATTTACTTATTCATTCATTCATTCATTCAATTTCAATAGATGTCCATCTCAATCCTAATGACTGTGGATGGCAAACAACATCGTAATACTTAAAACCATAAAAACCTATCATGGAAATGGAAAACCATAAAAAGTTAAATGGAAATATTCCTTCTTCAACAAACTTTCAGCTCTAGCTGACGGGCTCATTTACATTTCTCTTATATTTTTAACTGACTGATATTTTACTTTTGTATTATTTCTTGACTGTTTCATTTCGTTGAACAGTATCCAGAGTCATAATATTAGGGCAGTTAACAAATATGGTGTATAAACAAAAACTATTTTCAAAATAGTCAACAATAGTAGTGATAAAATGACAACACACCCACATACCCACACACACTAAAATGCTTAAAGAGGAGGGTACATCAAGAGTGATATGGAAGTGAAAATACTATGCCCATCCCTTTCTGGAATTCACACATTATGTGGGGTGGGTTCTGTGCAGGCTCTAGCTGGTAGATCCAAAGTCTGCCCATCGCTGGTATTCCTTTCTCTGTCCCCCTCTCCCTTTATGAGTTATGGAAACATGTTGGTGTGGAATCAATTATGGAAGCCCTAAAAGTTCTATAACTGACTTCAAAGTCTGGGAGGGAGTGGAAAGAATTTGCAGTTCAAGCCCAAAACTTATGAAGTAAAGCTGTATAGTTCTTCCCAGTTCTCCTTCAGATAGACACCATAGATTTATATCCAACCATTACAGTGCATGCATTTCAGAAGAAATAATAAACACCACCCAACACAAACTTGCTTCCCCAATCAGTGTTATCAAAGGCTATTGTTTTAGTTAGCAAACTCCTTGTACATGATTGATGAATAGGCCTTAGTTATGTATGACTGCTTAAACAGTAGTAGGCTCTTAAAGGGCCTGGTTGTTACTACATTTTACTTCCTCTTTTATTTGCAAGGTAGGATGGGAAGGGGTGGGGTGGAGTGGGAGTAGGAGGGGACAGGATTGTTAACTTAAGAGTACCTTTACGAACTATCATCTGGACTTGGAGTTTAAGGCTCTGTCCAGTATATACTAATGGAATAGGATTATGCAAAGTGCTTTTACACTGAAACAGGTAATTGCTCTCCCCAGCCTATTACTGTGGTGAACCCAGAGCATTTGGCATTCAAAGCATTTTTTTCTGCTCTTATACTTAATACCTTTCCCCAAATTAAAAGTAAAGCAGCTGGGATAAAATGATTTTTGACTTTGCAAATGGGCACTCCCATAGAAACCCTTCATTTCAAATCAGGTGAAATGATAACGGACTAGAAGGAAAAGCCTAGTTTAAGTTCCTTATGATAACAAAAGCACAGTTGCAATTCCTAAGCTGATTATTGATATAATGCTGTTGAGTGGATGCTATGACATCTGCAACTATATACCTTCCAAAGAATCTGTTTCTCAGCAGAGATAAAGTGGTGATCAGGATAAAGGGATGACATCAAATATCTGTGATCACATCTTTCAATCAGAATAGAGCCAGAAGGGACCTTGGAGGTCATCTAGTCCAACCGCCTACTCAATCAGGAGACCCTATACCATTTCAGACAAGTGGCTATCCAGTCTCTTCTTAAAAACCTCCAGTGATGAAGCACCCACCACCTTTCATTTATTTTTAAAATTCACACATCTTACATTCTAAGTATAGTTGCTGTTCAATAGGGGAGGGGGTAAAATAAACAGCAAAAACAACAGTATTTCTTTCTCTGATGAAATGGGAATGCTGTGAAGCAAGAAAGAAATCGAACTACTGGTCTAAAAAGTTCCAAGAGCATTTGATAATGAAGCAAAAGGAAATAAATGGCATTTATTTTCCTGAGCAACTGAGGGGTGTGGATATGTCTCTTGGCATAGAAGACAGAAACAGGAACTGTTTTGCTACTATAAGCGGGCAGCTCCTAGAGTTGATATTAAAAGCTGATATATTTTTTTTTTAAACAAGCTTCTGAATGGATGCTAACAAGTGAGAACTTGGGAGCAATACTGATACGTATGACATAAAAAGAAGGATGCTGCTGTCATGGAAACAGACTGCAGGGAGTCAGACACATTGGCGTAAGGCTGGCAGGAATCATGAGACTTGCATCGTACACTCACTGGACTATGTTCAGCCTAAAGTGTGGGCCATAGCTACGGTTAGGGCTTGCCAATGTTACACCTGGTATCTAGGGCTCTGAATTCCACTTCCTCTTGAAAAGCCAATTTGCTAGCCCACTCAAATATGAAAGACTATTCAAAATATGTCTAGCTTGCAAACAAAATTGTTTTCTAGATATAATATTAGAATGTGAAGTTGATTCATGATATCTCTTTCAGGGTTTTTACGCAACGAGAGCAAACTGAGAGCCGATGAGCTTACTTTACTGCCCTCTGCATTGGGATGAGTTCTTCAATAAGAGAATTTTAGATTAGTAGCAGAGCACTTGCTTTGCCTACAGAAAAGTCCTTAATTCAACCCTGGGATTGAATTCCTTGTTAGTATTTACAATATTAAGCAGGCGAATCGACGCTGTGCTTTAAAATAAGAAGTATCCCACTATTTTTACCTGCTCCTGGGGAAGAGGGTTCAAAGCTGCTGGATGCATCACTGCATGCATTTGAAGCTTGTTCAGAAAGCTTCTTTTTTGCGCTGCCATCCACAGACTTGTGGGACTTCTTTTTGTTCTTCACCATAATTTTGTACATCAGGTCTGCTGGGCTAGGAAGTGGAATTCCACGTTCGAGCTGACCGGAAAGAGATAAGGATAAGGAAGAAATCTCTTTGAGAAGTATTTACTTTTAATTCCCCTGATCTGTCTTTTAACAGCAAAATTATTTAAACAAAGCCTATCCTCACACATACTATTTAAGATTATTTAGGATTATTTTTCCCTTTTAGTGGCTGCCTTAGTATGCTTCCGTAGACAGGTCCTGATCTCAATAAATGTATGCTGCCTGCTACATTTTCATTCTATTGCAACATGCTACACATTTGATCTACACACATACAATAATACTATATGCCTTCCACATACTTTTCCATCTTTATAAGGAGTGTAATTCTGATAGCAAATACTGCATATGAACCTCTAATGGCAGCAGATATTCTTTGCATGGGATACCCTTATTATCACTCTTGTTCAATAAGCTACTTTAACCTTAAAAATGTAATATTAACCTACTAAATGTGTGCTGTGCTATATGGATTCCTCTATAAAATATGAGTCACATAGTCACAATAATTCCACAGAAAAAGGTTTAGCTTTTTAAAATCCTTTTCTTGGTATCTTTAAAGCACATCTTATAAGCATACGGTACTGCTTTTACCCACCTCTATGCTATTTATCTCCTAGGACAAAAGACAATTTAACCTGTTGTTCTGTCTGTGGTCACTTTATCTTTCTAATGAATATTTTTAATGTCCTGCCTTCAGGTGGTGTTCTGTACTGTAAGTGAAAGAAAAACCCCTGCTAATGCATCTTGCTAATGTAGGATAATGCACATCCATAAGTACAGAACAGGATTTTTAAATTACATAGTAAATTTTCCTGCTATCCCATTAGATAATTTTAAAGAGGGACTAAATAGGTACATAGAAGACAGGGCTATCAAGAGCTTACTAATCCTGATGGCTTTTTGCTAGCTTCATATCACAGGCAACCTGCCATGGATATCAGCTATGGAATAACCAGGGAGGAAGTCTATTCCCTCCCCATCAATAAATGTGACCTTTGTGAAGGGATCTGGTTGATCACTTTGTGTAAACCAGTGGTTCTCAACCTTTTTAATGCCACGACCCCCAACTGGTCGTAAGTCGAGGACTAAACTGGTCGTAAGTCGAGGACTAAACCGGTCGTAAGTCGAGGACTAAACCGGTCGTAAGTCGAGGACTACCCAACCGGTCGTAATTCGAGGACTTTCCCTGCCCGGGAGCGCCGCGCATGCGTGGTTCCACCCCCTGCGCCGGCCAAGGCGTAGCTGGCAAGCAGCAGAGACGGAGCAGGCCGAGCACCAGCTGGCCCAGCCCAAGGGAGGTAAGGCACCTGCCGGAAAAGGGGGGAAAAATGGCGGACAACCTTGCTTGGCGACCCCCGTGAAATGGTCGATCGACCCCAAATGAGGTCACGACCCATAGGTTGAGAACCGCTGGTGTAAACAGAATGCTTGGTTGGATGACTATTAGCCTGATCTAATTCTTAATATTATCAGCTGTCTCATCGTTAATTGTACTACGAATATTTGCACAGCAAGAATAAGACTGGATTCCATAAATCTTAAGTGACTACACAGCACAAGGTCCCTTGAATGTGTGAGATAGCACTAACAACTCACTTGTCAATGGGATAAAATGATTAGCAAAGAGAGATCTGGAGGAACCCACACCACCAGAATGTACTAAATATGTATCTTTTTCTTAAAATCACTAGTATCCTAGTAAATAACACTTGCTGATGTTATACCTCTCTGGCTTTATATGTTTGATTCCATCTGGGACACAAAACTACTCAACCAAAAAGCAATCTAAATTACACTGAAGCATTCTTGCTGGAACATCTTACAAAGGAGATTATATTCTTTGTTAAGCTTTCACATGTAGACTTGGTATGGATAGGATAAGGTTAAGACACTGCTTAAGAATCAGTTCAACTTCAAAAAAAAAATAAGAATATACCTCCTTACAGTTTTGATACAATTCTTGTGCTGCTCAACCCAAATAAATAATATTTTGGGAAATGAACTCTATAGCAAAGTAAAACAACTAAAAAAAGATTCCATTTATAAGTCCCTGTTACATTTTTTCCTGTGAAAGCATATATTATACAAGACGGGTATGTGCTTCAAATATATTTCAAATATATATGTCCTTCAACTCCCAACCCCCTAAATTAAAAATAAATGAACAAAACAAATCAGCAAAAGACATTTCCCATAAATAAAGAAATTCATTAAGTTGGAAGATAAGAAGGAACCACAGAAACTTAAAATTCTACATCAAATAATATCTTTGTTGACTAGTCAAAAAAGCTAAATAAATAAATATGTACTTACTGGGTATTTTTCTAGTGGTTCCATCAGCAAAGCATCTCCAAATATTAATCTACAATATTCTGCCATTTTTGCCTGCTGTTTAGGGCTAAAAGTGGAAGAAATTGTGAAATTAAATAAGGCTTTTTTTTATAATGCTAGAAACACTAGTAATGGAGGATATATCTTTTAACTAGATGAAGAGGTGTAATTTTCCGATCCTATCATCCTAAATTGTACTCAGTGATCTAAAGTCATTATGCTATTAATTCGACTTCAGCAATAGCTTTCTTGCCATATTTTTTACATTAATCAGCACAATAAAGATTCTCATTTGTAGTTTGTCATTAATAGAGATAAAAGGAAAAAAAGAAATTGCCTCATATGCATACAAGAAACGGTGTGCTTAAGAGAATGCAGAAAATTATTTTGACATCTACCTACTCTTAAAATATTTATATTGATCTACTTCCAATAGAAGAGAATATATGTAATGGGGTTGAACTGCTGAGTCCTTTGGGCTCTCTGAGCTTGATTGTTTGCTTGTAGACCTTTCATTACCCAGTTAAATAACACTGTCAGTGCAAGTGTGCATGCGGTTTGTGCTATGCTTTCTCCCTTATTCTCACTCATTCTCACATTAAGATCCATTTCCTTTTTCTGTGGATGTGACCCGTGTCCGTCCTTCCTTCCTTCCTTCCTTCCTTCCTTCCTTCCTTCCTTCCTTCCTTCCTTCCTTCCTTCCTTCCTTTCTTTCTTTCTTTCTTCCTTCCTTCCTTCCTTCCTTCCTTCTGTCACTTTCCCCATTTACTTTCCTTGTAGGAAGCTTGCAGGGAGAAAGTCAGCAGAAAGTTAAGTCCCTGCTGCTAGCTGGGGGAGAGAGCAAGGGTGCATGTGGGGGTCAGGAATAGTAAATGCGTGAGAGGTATCGCATGGGTTGGGAAGGTTGTGCAGGTGTGTGCCTAAGATACCACATGAGTCAGAGAGCACGCATGGGTGGGTGGCAGAGAAGGCTTCCCCTTCCCTTCCTTTCTTTTCCCTTCTCAACAGGCAGATAAGTGGCTGCTGCTGGGTTGGGAAGGAAGTGAGGGATTGTGAAAATGGCTGGGAAATTGTCACAGACTTTAACAATGAAGATCATGTGACCGCAGTCGCTGTGCAGTTAGCTGTGCAGACTGCAGTGACTGCCGTGGCTGTGCAGTGACTGCACAGCAATAACTGGCAGCACTAAAGCAATCACAACTTTCTCAAATTTCATCCCCTTGGAAGTCATAGATTCTGGATTTTGGACATATTCTGTAAGTTAGCCCATTTGGGGTACTGTGATTTAAAACCCATTGCCCTACCATGCACCATTTCACCCAACAAAAGATTGTAGTTTTAATAATATATAGATTTACAGTTACCCCAAAAGCTCTGAAAAAACTAATAACTTAGTTTAACTGGGGTATCTCCCTTCACAAGTAAATGCCTGGGAGGATAAGAAACGTTCATGAAAAAGAGCTGCACCACATTTTAACAGGTTGGTTTTTACCTGTAGCAAAATCTACAACACTCAAATATTATTGATGCATCTTTCTAGTGCAGGGGTAGGCGACCTTGGCTCTTTTATGACTCGTGGACTTCAACTCCCAGAATTCCTGAGCCAGCCATGCTGAGGGGAAACGGAGAGGTTTCCAAGCTGAGCCATGCTGGCTCAGGAATTCTGGGAGTTGAAGTCCACGAGTCATAAAAGAGCCAAGGTCGCCTACCCCTGTTCTAGTGCATCTTGCTGGAAGTTGGCATTCTATTCTGTTGCCAGCATTGGGAAAACAGATTTTTCCTTCTCTCTTTGGCAAATCTGACACCCCCCTCCAAATACATTAAGCAATTTGCTACTTCACTTTCATGCTGCTCAGTTCCAAAATGATTTTAAGTATCTTACAAATAGTACAAAGTAGAAAGAATTAAATGGCGGGAAATAGGCCCATGCTAAAAACCATACCAACAATTGACATGCAGAGAAACTGCTAGCAGCAACAATCATCTACTGTAGGACTCCCCAAAGACTTTATAGAAAGTTGGTGCTTGGCACATATGAAGGGGAGAAAGCAAAAAACAAAAACAAAACCCTTTTCCTTCATGAGTAGAAATCATCAATATAGGAAACCGGACATAGCTGACTGAAAACATTTCTACAAAAATTTAAATTACTTACGAATCCACATGATTCTCAAAAGACAGGAGTATAGGGAAAGGAGATGTCTTAAATGCACATTCAGCAATAGCTTCTATGACTTCCTAGAAAGGGAGAAACAAAGAACACATTTTCCCTTGAAAAAAGAAATTATTTAACAGGCAAGCATAAAGAGTTTTGATAGTTGCTCTGACCCACACTCAAGATTTTTTTCATTCTTAAAAGAACAAGGCAGTTCCAGCACCATTAAGTTTATCTCAGTGTGACTGGCCTTCTAATCTTCCAGCCCAGTAAAATGCTGTTGGCATGTGGGAGAATAAACAGCAGTTTGTATTTAGAAATGTGTGTCCACAGGGCTCACAACAGTTTTCCTAAAGCTTCACTTTTAGAGATTCTTTTGTGTAACAGAATAGTTATGTATTGCCAGGTAACCATTATTGTATTTAAAGAAAGACTTCTTTTCACATTTTTAAATTACCACTCTTTAGGCGTATGTCTGAATTTATTAAAGCCTTGAGTATCTGACAGAACAAAAGAAAAGTAATGCACGTTAAACTGCAATTTGTTTCATTTTGGCTTAGCATACTGCACAAACCCATACACTATAGTTGGTAGTATATGTATGAATCTACTTAGTGGTGTACTCAGTGTGCCAGGACAACAACAAAATCTGGTGTAGCACAAGGGGGATCTTTTTAAGATACTTCTAACCCTGATTAGTTTTTGTTTATTCCAACTGAAGCCATTCTTATCACCCACCGCAGCCAGAAACATGCTTGAAAAATTTATAGGTTGGGCCATGTTAGTTAATCTGACATAACCTCACTCAGTGATTTTACTTAACCTGCTATGTGATGCTTAAATACTTGGGGGGGGGAATGTATGGGAAGGCTTTTCAATTACTAAGAATCCTCCCTGTCACACACACACACACACACACACACACACACACACACACACACACAAAACGTGGATTTACTTGCTGAGGGAACAAATAGAATGTGTGAAAAACCAGTAGGATTTAGCTGAAATGGAGACTGCTTCTGTACAAGCTGATTTAGGTTAAGGTTGCCTTGTCTTCTTATAAATTTACTTGCCTGTGGTTTTTTTTTTAAATGTTTCAGCTAAGTGGCTTAAACTATTCCTATTAAAAAAAACTGCTTTCTCCTTCCCAAGGGGTGTCTTAAAACTTTGATGCAGGACTGTGGACAGACTGCAGCTTGATATAAAGTTATAGGACTATTGATATATCCATTGAAGCACTGAAGTACACATTTTCTTACATAGTGATAATTGTGATGAAAAATTATATAGCTCAGCAAAGATATGAAGATTTACACCTTCGCCATGTTTACCTTACCATGGCTTTAAAAATTAGTTACAAATTGCCTTGGCTAAAAGCCAGCATAGAAATCTAAATATTTAGTTAATAAAAATATATCATATAATTCAACATAATTACACAAGATAGGAAAACAATAATGATGAAATTTATTTATTAAATTTATTAAATGTATTCAGATAATTACTTATCCATTAACTGCCTAACAGGAGGTTTTTAATTTACCCTAGAGAATCTTTTAAGAAAAAAAGGGGTGTATGTATATATGCATTCAATAAGCAGAAATTCTGTTCCTCCAGATCACAGACACCGAAACAACACAACACTTCACAAAACAACAAAAAGTTTGGCTTTCATTTCTCATCTGGTATTATTTGTCTGAAGAGCTTTTAACTGGAGACTGCTGCCAATTCCTTTTAACCAAATCAGTAATTTTAACAAATGCACTAAAAATTTAAACTAAAATGCCTTCATTATAATTTTGCCGTGCAATGTAAAGAGAATGTATACATATGATAAGGAAAATCAATAGCATGTAAATTTTGCAGCAGATGCTTTTAACATAGCTAACCATCAGTTAAGAAAGAGCAAATAGGATGTAAAAGGTGAGGCTTCTATGAACCTTTCTGGAAAAGCTAAAGTACACAATATTCACCTTTTTACTGAAAAATGGATTTGACAATATTAAACAAGCTAATCTAGATCAAACACAAATCTGTTTTACAAAGAAAGGTTCAGGGGATAACATGTTTACTATCAAGTGCTACAGTTATGAAATCAAAAAAGAATTTTAAAAAATCAAATTACATAACTTACATTTTGCACTAGGTTTGTGCCTCTGCACATGTCATAGATACTTGTCAGAAAAATGACAGTCAAAGCAAGCTATTACATGGGCCACCAAGAAGAGTGCTGATTAATGGCTCTGACCTCAGACACTGGTAGCTCAAAATTGTTTCCCCTGCCTACTAACAGATTACTTCTCTTTTAGTTTGCTCCTACTAAATCAGGAAATGTCAAGTTGAATAGCAAAGTGGCAGCAACCTATTTTGAAAGAGACATTCATGCATGCGGTATTAAAGGCACAATAAGTTTTAAGTCAAAATATCCTGACATTCTTCATCATTTCCAGTGAAAGAAGTAAAATAAAATAAAAAAAATTAGAGAGGAACAAAATCTCCAATTCATGTGTGGGATGTGCACGACTCTCTAACACTAGCATTTTCAGAAGCATTCTGAGGTTAAAATATATGTTCAAAAATGGCCAATTACTAAATTAAAACACCCTCTCTCTTGATTATACAATGCCAAGAAAGAAGTCTACATAACAATTGCATCCAAGGAATGCTTGGTTTCTAGATGCCACTTTTCTGACTTTTGTTTCATTTCTACATCTGGATGGCAGGCAAAAGAGATTTCTGTTGAAGGAAAGCTGCTGGGCAAAGCAAGGAATCCATCCAAGCTTCAACAGGAGGCATTGCTCTACTGGGCCTCACTTCTTTGTCTATTTCACTGGAGAGCTCAAAGATGAGGTGGCGTAATGTACATGGCAAAAAATGTCCTTCCCATCAAGTTCTACTTTTTTATTATCTGCATATTCCACAAACCTTTGGCAAGATCGCAAGGAATAACAAACAAAACCAACCACAATTAATTTAACAATAATCCAAGCAACTCAATGACCATCAGCCAATTCACAAATCAATCTAGTAATAATGGGGAACAAATAAGAAGCTACAGTTGTTTCAGTAGAAAATCAAAAAAAAGATGGTAACTTCATGAAAAGAGTATTCTCAATCTGGGCATGTTGTAACTGTGGTCTCTTTCTATTCACCACTCACTTGATCTTAGAAAAATGAAGTACAGGTTTCTGTTACTATCTGTAGTATGTTTATACAGAGTCTGTTTTGGCAGTCAGAAATGCAAATCCATTAATAGCAGACAATCATCATAAACAATATATGCAATTAATGAGACAGTAGTATAAAAGTTAGGAGCAAAACATTGCTTCCTCAGATGTTGAAATTGGATATGGTAATCAACTTGGGACTTATGATTTAGCACTGAATTATTTAAATAAGTAATGTCAATTATATTCTTGTGGTTGAGGCTGTCTCATATTTAAGTTTGTGTATAGTCTGTGCATCCAGGTTTTCTCATGTGTCTAGTTGATGACTGACTCAGATGGTACATCTATTATAATGATGGACAAATTACTTCCTTCAGATCACTAGCAACCCTGTTCTAATTTTCTGCCAAGAATGCTGATTGTTCCAAAAATGTGTGCACAAGTGAATATTTAAATCCTACCATTCACACAGGATTCATATCCAATAACACACCGCAGAGCTTGCAAGCACTACTCTTTTATGTAATAAGGACTATCCTTCCTGCTGCTTCTTAAAGGCAATTTTCTCCCTGAGAAAAACAGATATGCTTATGTGATCCAGGTCTATAATAGGAAGCTTCAGGATAGTTTACATGAGTCATTTGAATAATTTTGGTATATAGGCTGATGCTACATAACCTTAGCCTTGCCAATAATATCTGATGGAAATCATGTTTATCCAGGGTTATATCTCATAACGCTATTGGGATTTCTTGCTTAACAAAGGTAATTGGGACTGGGATTTCCATCCCTAAGTGGTGTGGCTGTTGTTGTGGAACTGCATTGCTCAATGATAGCAATCCCCGAAATTCCCACTGCTGTTAAGTCAAATTCCCAGGTAGTTAAGGAAGAACTTCACATGTCTACGACTTGTGACTTCCTTCTGGCTTCCCACAAAGTCAATGGGAAAATTGCCTAGAATTTGCAAGTCCCTGGCAGCTCACAAGCAGGCTGGATGGTGGGTATGTACTGTCCTACAGAGTGAACCAATGTGTGTGTATGTGTTGCAGTGAGTGTGCGTTGGCAGAGAAAGGTTTCTGTGACACTGTGAGTGCATAAGGTCTCAGGAGGGGATGCTAAGGCACCACCTGACTACATGCAGGTTGGGGAAGAGTTGCTGCCGTATCACTGCTGGGCAGGGGGTGCTATGGGAGAATAAGTGGTGGGAACAGCTTGCACCCTTCTCTGTAGGCTTCCCTGCAGACTTTGCTTGTGGAAAACCAACTGGAAAGGTTGCAAATGTTGATCTGCAGGATAGTGCAACCATCAAAATCGTGAGTTGGTTGTCAAATGCCCAATTCACAATCATGTGACGACAGGAGTGGTGCAAGGGCCAGAACTTTGAGGACTGATTATAAGTATCACTCATGTGGCATCATTGCAACTTCGAACAATCACTGAGCAAGTGGTCGTTAACTATACATTGACTGCTGCTTTCAATTTAAAGGTTGCAAAAAAAAAATCCAAATATTTTGTTTGTAAAATTATTATATTTGTCTTCCAACAATCAAGTTAAAAATACATTTTCAGTAATACAAATACATTCTTCTAGGATCCAGGACTATTTGAAAGGTTTTATTATTTTAAAAACTGTTTCTTTCTCTCACTACTGATACATATATACTATATTGTTGAAAGAAAAGTCTTCATCCTGGTTCATCCAAGCCGGGGATAAATAAACAACGTGGCGACTGCTTTGGGAAGATGGTTGCAGTTTATTGAAGAGCCAGACTGAAAGATGGTTCTGGCAGGAAGGAGGAGAGAAATCAAGGAATGAGCACATGTGGAGTAGGTTTCTATACCCTCTGAAAGCCTTTTGTTTGGAATAGTTTCCTGTTCCTGTGGCATGAACTTTGAGGCTATTTCCTGTGTCA